ACTCCACCCCACTCCCAAACTGACGTGTGAGTCTCGGAGGAAAGAAAGTGGAGAGAGTGGGGAACCAATACACAAACGTTTGGAGTTGAAATCGGTCATTTCTACACTGACACGAAGTAGGCCTGTGACTTCACACATCTCCTGGGGTGAGGTGGAGTCTGGGGCAGAAGGCCGGGTGGCCACGGGCAGGTAGGGAGCATGCGTCTGCTGTGCTGCAGCCACAGCCAGCAGCTCTCACAGGTTAGAAGGCAGACAGTCCCTGGGGAGATGTCTGTAAACCCAGGTGCGAGCCGACCACGGCAACATGCAGAAGGTAAATATAATAAGATACACACTGACAACCAAGCATTTGGAAATCAGGACTGATCCGGTGGCAGAGGCAACTGGCTGCCTACCGAACAGGGTTCCCCGAGCCTCCTCCGAGTCCTGGCCGCCCAGCAGGGCCCGCGTCTGCCAGCCCCGAGGGCAGTGACTGAATCCGGCCGAGAGAAGGTGGGCAGAAGTGATGAATGCTGAGGAAGGAGACACATTCCTCTGCCCTCCTAGGCTCCTTGGGCTGCTCTGATAATTAAATCTCCACGAGACAGGTTATAGCAACAAGAGAAAACGACCAAATGTAATCACATACACGTGGACGGGAACCCTGCACGTGAGAGAGACCCACGTGCACAGGGGTTCCCAGACAGAAAGGGGACGCCGCCTGGACACTCTGAGCCAGCGATCAGGTCAGCCCGGGGCCTTCAGGGGCAGGAGGTCACTGCAGGAACGTCAGGGAGCAGATGTTCCCTGATTAGGAGTTTTTCCTGCCGGACCCCCATAGGTCCTATAAAGTTCTCTCTGGCGATAGCTCTTATTATGGGCGAGGCCCCAAATTTAAATTCTTCGAGGGAGAGGTAGTGAGCCCCCAGGGTCTCAAAATAACTCACACGCCAATGTAGCCCACCTTGGGGAGAGGCCTGCTCTGAACCCCTTCTCAGACCTCTTCCAGAACCTACTCATAAACACCTCCTGTGCATGTCCACCTCTCTCTCCCCCCGTGTCTGCGACACCTACACCTTCGTGGATGTCAATGCCCAGGGCAACCTTGAACGCCAAGAGCTAAATATGGTGGAGGCTCCACCAGCCCGGCCCCTGCCTGGGTCTGGACCCCAGTGGGTCAGAACTTCCTCCCTGCTCCCTCCTCCAGAGGAGCAGACTCTGGGAACGAGAAGTAAAGCCAGCCGAGTGAGACCACAGAGGCTTGGGGGTTTTCTGTGGATAAATTCTTTTCTTGCTAAAGATGATTGGTAGACAATCGAGGTAGGAGCAGCCCATGAAGGTGGAGGTGTGGAGTGAAGGAGCTTAGGCGGAAAACAGGGGGGCTGGAGGAAGCCCATCTAACTTCCACGCAAGGACAGAAGATGACTACCGGACAGGCCCTGATAGGTCAGCTGGAAGAGGAAAGCATTTAACCCCAGTTCCGGGGACCTAAAGGGGGCCCAAGCCCACACTAGGGCATCTTAACATTCCTTTTCGAGTGTCTAAGAGGTCTACTGCCTTCACTAAGGGGAACCGAGTGGTTTGCTGCTGATTAGGATGCTAGTGGCTGACTCGGTTTGGGCCACTGTTACAAAGCACCATAGACTGGGTGGCATTTATTTCTCACGGTTCTGGGGGCTGGAAATCTGCCGTCAGGTGCCAGTATGGTCGGGTTCTGGTGAGAGCCCAGTCATGCGAACGACTGGCCTCCAATGTCCTCACCCGGCGGGGAGCAGAGAGGAAGCAGACTCTGGTGACATGGATAAGGGCACTAATCCCATTCACGAGGGCTCCACCCATATGACCTCCTCTAATGTAATCACCTCCCAAAGCCCCACCTCCCAGCCCCATTACATCGGGGAGTAAGGTGCCACATAGGAACTTTAGGGGAGGCACAAACATTTAGTGGTCAATTAACATTAATAGAAAAATAAGCTATTTCTTAGAAACTAGGAGGTTAACGACTAGGTGGTTGACAACAGATAATGGAGATATTCGGTGACACTGGCCTAGGTTTCCTCTTCTCAGCTATTTCTCTCAGCCTGTCCCTGGTCAGCAGCTGCCCTGTGTCCCCCTGTCGGGACCACCTGACAGCCGCTCTGGCCTGCCCTGGCCTCGTCCCATCACCAGGTGTCTGACCTGCAGAGTCAGGTGAGACCTGGGTTTAGTAACCTCGGTTCCTGCGTTCTGGCTGAGAAAAGAATTCAGAGCTAAGACACAAGGTCCTACAGATTTACTGGGCAAGCAAAGAGGAAGTACACTCGAAGAGGAATTTCAAGACGCCCTGGTGTGGGCTAAGGCTCCCTTTAGCCCCTCGGAACAGGGGTTAAATGCTTTCCTCTTCCAGCTGACCTATCAGGGCCTGTGGAAGTTAGATGGGCTTCCTCCAGCCCCCTTGTTTTCCGCTAGGGGTGGGGTCTACCACAGGCTTCACCACGTGCTGGGGGAGAAAAGGTCAGGAGAATCCCGCCTGCAAGACCGGAAGCATCTAGGGTGAAGAGGGGTCCTCAGGGCGAGGTTCTGATGAGCAAACTTATCTCCAAGGCTTGCTCTGCCTTTCTTCCCATGGCCTGTCCCGCACACTCTGCCCCGTGACCTTCTGCACCTGGCCCATCGTCCTGGCTCTGCTCACGCCTGTCTAACGGCGACTGCATTTCCAGTGGAAGGGACAGGCCTTTCCCTGATGAATGACATGCCAGACCCAGTGAAGGGCCTCACCCACTGGGCAGCCCCACCTCCCCCACTGACCCCACAGTGTCCATGAACCCACTGGCACAGCCCTCCCTGTGTCTGAGGAAGAGGGGCCCAGGCCTGGCTCTCTGGCTCTGAGGGCAGCCCTCCTGTGGGTGGGACCACCCCTCAGCCCCTCCAGATGAAGCTCTCTGTCCTGCATGGAATGACCTGGGAGGACACTGCTTAGGCTGCTGTGGCCACAGCCTAGGCAGGTCTCCCACTCCCCCTTCCATGGGATGCTCCTAGAGGTGTGGGGTGGTTGAGCAAAGGTGACCCCCTGACTTCTATTATAGATCTCACTGGTGGGCTCTGTGTGTCTGTCTGTCAGAGGTGATGGCTTTGGGGAGTGGTCTGCCCCAGACTCCCAGAGAGCCCAGTTCCCTCCCCAGACCCCGGCTGAGCTGGGTGCCTCGGAACCCAGGTGTGCACCCCCAGCGAGCGTCTCGCCGCCCCGGATCAGGAAGGGGGAGCTTGGCAGGGTGCTTTGGGGGTGCCCAGAGGAAAAGTAAAAAACGGGAGCTGCGGGGTTCGAGGGCCGGCTGGCGGAACGGCCTTGGGGAGCGATGCGGGGAATCTTGGCTCTGTCACCTTTTCGAGTGTGGACTTGAGCTTGTTTACCCCTTCTATGGTAAACACTTAGACTAGGCATTGGCACCAATGGCTCCTCCAGAAATGGCAACTATGCCGGCTGCTGATATCAGGGATCACGCTGTGGCTCCAGCATGCTGGGTGGGGGCGCGGGCATGCTCTTCAGAGGTCAAGCAAGGACTGGAATTCAAGTTCAGGGCTGAGGCTCTCGCAGGGGAGTGAGTCATGAGTGCTGGTGTCCAGGCCATGACTGCAGCGGCCGGGCTGCGGCCTCCCCTGGGCCCTCCCACTGCAGGCAGGCCGAGGCTGAGGAGGCCTAGAGTGGGGTCAGCCTTCTGCACAATCCTCGGCCCACCCATGGACCGGAGCCTCTGCCCACAGGACTAGCCTTTCCTGGCCAGCACCCAGGGGAGTGCTCACTGTTGGTCACCCCAGATTCCGGTCTTCAGACTCATCAGCTTGGACCAGAGCCTCCAGCCGCCCACCCTCTGGGCGTCAGACGGGGCCCCAGCCCCAGGAGCAGATGGTTCTGCTGGTTCCTCTCACAGGAGGGAGGGAGAGCAAACTCTCCTCGCCCGGGGGCTCACAAGGCAGCAAAGTCACCCTTGATGGTGCTGGCAGGACCCCGGGTTTTCTTTAGAGCAGGGGGAGGGGCGCTCTGCATGAAATGAGCACAGATTGGGGGACAAGAAGTGTCATCTCTTCTCAAGCGAATCGCAGGCTCCATGAGCCAGTTTGGTCATTTGCGGAGGGGCCTTCTGGTTTGGTCGAATCCATCACCTGGAATCCCACGCACAGCCCCGAGCCACGGCCACGGCGAGGGCGGCCGGAGGCAGCCAGCCTGGTCAGCTTGGCGCCGGCACCGCAGCATCAGGCAGGTCCTGCCAACGGGCCCAAAGCTTCCAAGTTCAGCTTCTCTTTTTCCTCCTCAGGCCCGGGGCCCGTTCGTACCCAGGGTGCACCTTCCCTTAAACTTGCCCTTTTCTTTTCTTTCTCTTTTAACTGTTTTTCAATGTCTTTATTGATGTTTAGGTACAGAGGAAGGGAGAGGGAGAGAGAGAAACACTGATGAGAGAGACACATCAGTTGGCTGCCTCCTGCACATCTCCTAGTGGGGATCAAGCCAGCAACCTAGGTACGTGCCCCGAACCCAGGACCTCTTAGTCCAGTGGTTGGCAAACCGAGTCTCGTAAGCCACACGCGGCTCTTTGGCCCCTTGAGTGTGGCTCAGCATTAGAACCACTTCTTCAAATGAAAACTGACTTCTGCGCATGGGCCACGGAGTTTTAATCGCACTGTACATGTGCGCCTATGGGTAATATTTTGTGGAAGAGCCACACTCAAGGGGCCAAAGAGCCACATGTGGCTTGCCAGCTGCAGTTTGCCGACCATGGTCTTAGTGCAAGCATATCAGACTCTCGGGAGGGGGGAGGGTGGCATGCGGCCTGCGGCCTGCAGCCCGCGCACGTTCAGTCTTAGTCCATGGGGCGACTGAGCTTAGCCCACTGAGCAACACCAGCCAGCAACTTTCTCTTCTTTTCCACCAAAGATAACAGACATCCTGTTCTTCTTCAGGCAAGATCGACCATTCATGAGCCGCTTCCATTTACCGCGAGTGCGTGCCATTGAGCTTTACACACATCATCGCATTTTATCCCCAAACTCCTACTTATGGTTGTACTTCGAGCAAGGTTCAGAGGTTCCATGGCTTGCCTCGGCTTTGAGGTTCTCAGCGACCTCGCCACTGGGTCACACAGCCCAGGTCTGGCTGAGCGCAGAGCTCGAACCCTGGCCCGCCGCATCGCCTTGCCGCCAAGAACAGGGGAGTCCCGTGAGGGGAATGCGTCTTCGGCTCTGTCCTCAGGCGGCGAGATCCTCGGGCTCAGAGGTGAGAGGGGGCTCCCACACCTGCCCACGCCGAGGCCCTGCAAACAGGAGCTTGACGGGCCGGCGCTGGCTGGCTGCTTTGGCGTCCACTGTCCACAAGAGAAGGCGTATCTTTTCCTGACGGGGGCACATCTCCATGGCAGCCAGATGCCCTGGCTGGGAGGAAAGAGACCTCCCGGGGACAGGTCTTCAGCTCATTAGGAGCTGCACAAAATTGTACATTTTGATGTTTTCCCCCCATGGCTGAACTACTGCACGGCCACAGGAATTTGAAGATGCCAAAAAAGTGAACAGAGGGAAGGTAACGTATAGGACTCTTAACCGGTGATATGTGGGAAAATTCCCTTCTCTCTGTGTAAAGGCCAGAATTGAAAAAGTGATGGTTGGAATTGTATTTATACAGGTACTGCTTTATTCATGAGCAAATGTCCAAATTACATTTTTTTAAAAAAAAAACAACACAAAACCACCCTGCCCAGCTAGAGTGGCTTAGTTGGTTGAACCAGAAGGTTGCCGGGTGACTCCCAGTCAGGGCACACACCGAGGGAGCAGGTTCAATCCCAGGTCAGGCCACATACAGAAGGCAACCGATCGATGTTTCTCTCTCAATCTCCCTTCTTCTCTCTAAGCGTGTCCTTGGGTGAGGAATAACCCACACACACACACACACACACACACACCCTGCCTTTCTTACCCAGTGTCCTCAGGTGTGTATGTAGGCTGGGGTGAAGCGTCTCGGGGATCATTTCATTCTCCCGGGCAGACGGCCGTGGTGCCATTTGCTGTGGGGCTGCCCCGGCACCGCGTTCCCTGTGCACAAACTCGCCTCATTCATTTCTCAGGTAGAATTAATGCCGACATCGACCTTGAGCTTCGGTCTCCCGCTGGGTTGGCAACACCTCCAGCCCTAAGGAACCCACACCGGGCCCTGTACTGAGGGCGCCGCCCTGACTGCCGGCTTCCCGGAACCGAGGACCTCACAGGAGGGGAGCCCCAGCGACTCTGAAATGCCAGCTTTTGGCCAACACCTCCGCTCTCCCAACTGTCGTACTTTGAGCAAGATGAAGGAGGGGACTGGTGGCCCAGAGGGGCAGGGAGGGAATCTGGAGGCCAGAAGACGTGGGCTTGGATCCTGGCTCTTCTACTCATTAGCTGTGGAAACAGATTACCCAAGCTCGGAGCCTGGGTTTCTTCATATCTATGAGAGATACTTCCTTCCCTCCAGGGTGTTTGTGGGAATTAAATGACATAATGCGCAAGGGAACTCGTTGGGTCTAGTTTTGACCCAATGGAGGCAGTTAATAAAGAACTGAGATCACTTCCTCCCTTCCCCACCCCCAGGGAGGAGAGCTCCCGCCTCGGCTCCCACTGAGCTCTCTCTGGCGCCTCTGAGCTGCTTCCAGAGCCTCCCGCTCTCGGAGAAAGTCCAGGTCAAAGCCGTGCGGGTCAATTCAGGAGCCGCGAGGCTCTCCTGGCCCCGGCGCTGGCCAGACTGTGCGCCCCCTGTCCTCGCCTTGCTGACGGCTTACGGCAGGAATAAACAAGACGAGCAAAAACACCCTTCACTCCTCGTACCCAATATCCTCGCCCGTTTGCTTATATTTCCTAAGCCTTTACTGGCACATGGCACAGGCCGTGCGCCCTCAGGCGCTCTGGGAACACCTTACGTGCCTGCCTGGAGGTGTGGCCCGGCCTTCCCTCCTGGTCCCCATCTTCCCAGCTCACTCCATCACGCTGGGTTTCTGGACCAAACACACCCCACTGCAGCTGGGCATGACGGAGAGGGAGGACTAGACATCCTGGTTCAGATGCAGGAAGGCTGAGGAGCCGTCCAGGTTTCGGATGGGCTGGTGGCCCCTCAGAGGGTCAGTTGGATCAGGATTTCTGGGCATGGGGACCAGGCATGGTATTCGCGGTCTGAGCCAAGTTTGAGAGCCGGTGACTCAATCGCTGCACGAAGGGGCTGCCTGTTCCCCATGCGTCTCACTTTATGGCTTCCACGTGGGGCCAGGCTCACAGCCAGCGCTCCGATGGTGACGGAGGGCCTCGGTCTGGGCCTGATTAACTCCAGGATCACACAGCTGTCCCGGAGACATACAAGACAAACCCTTTATTGCATTAAAAAAGGCATCTGTTAACCGCTGGGCCGCGGGGGGGGGGACTGCACCTGAGGCCACTTCAGAAAAAGACACATTTTCAGCATCACAAACTGGCTAGCTCTTCCTCCTCTCCCCATGAACACGCCTCGTGGCTTCGGTCCGTTCTGGTGGGAGTTGCTGAGTTCACGTACAACCAGGATGATCCTAGTTCGCCGCCAACACAGGTGCGTTCCTGGCCGCCTCCCGGCAGCCGGCAGCGGCGGCTCGGACACAGGCGGCCACGCCGGGCGGCGCCGGTCCCATCATGTGGTGAGCCCGCTCTGAGGCTGGCTCCGGGGATGGTCTCAGAGGCAGCGTCGCCCTCTGGGGCCGGTGAGCAGACACCCTGCGGGGCTGCGGCAGCTCCGAGATCGGTTCCATCCGAGGCTGGAGGCGGCCTGTCCCGCCTCGCTGCACAGCACGTGCTCCCCCCGGGGGGCGGGCAGCCCGGCGGCTCCTCGCTCAGGGTGGCGAGTGGGGCTCTGCCCGGCGGGGGGCGGGCGCATCCAGTGGGGCAGAACTGAGGAGCAGTGGGGACGCTGGCACAGGGACTGGCACCGCTACGTCTGAGGGGTCCAGCGTCCACCCGGGTGCTGGCAGTTTGGGCCCACACGGCTCTCCCATCTAGCCCGAGCGAGAAGCCCGCCACCGCGATGCCCAGTTCGGAGGGACTGTCCACGCTGCTCCTGAGCCTCCTGGGGCTGCTCGGTTTACCCGCATGTTCTTGGGTGTCCCTGAGGGCTGCCCCTGCTATGCCCATCGCTTCCCGTGCCCACCCAGCCGTCACCCGGTGGCTTCAATGGGGTCGATGGCTTCCTCCATAGAGTAGTGCGGGGGCAGGCTGCCCTCCCCGCTCACTCATCTTTCTCCTCTCCCACCCTCACCCTGCACCAGGCCACACCACACGGCGCTCTGCCGATGCCCATCTGTTGGAGCGCGAAGGTAAACATTCAGGACTTTGGTCTTTCCCCGCCCTGGCCAGCATTGTCCTCGTCGTCGTCCAGGCCTCGACAGAGGTCCCTCGGGGACCCGGCGGGGTCACTCCTGCACCAGGAAGTTGATGAGGGCCGTCCTGGGTGAGAGGAAGGCCTTCTTGATGCTGCGCCCCTGCAGGAGCCTGGCGCCCAGCTCGCTCTGCAGGACCAGCTCGTGGACTCTGTCCGCGTCCCGGGCCACGTGCTGGGGCACAGGCACCTGGCCGCAGGCTTTGTTGTTGATCTGGGGAGGAAAGCAGGGGACAAGCAGTGCTGAGAGGCAGGCAGGCAAGTGCCCAAACCCACTTCCTGCAAAGGCCCGCGGTCTGTCTGGGGAGGGAGTGCGGGAAGGAAGAAGGCCGAGGCAGCACCAGGCTTCTCGGAGCGCGAGGAATGCGATGTTGCCTTTCTGCAGCGGTGTTCAGGGAGGGCCCTCCATGGCCGACCTCCACACCACCGGCCCTCCCCTCCCCACTGCCCGCACAGGAACAAAAGCCGCTGAATGAGCCGAGAGGTGGAGACAGTGGGAAAGGAAGATGATCATCCTGGAATGCAGGGCAGGTTTATTCTCCCACTTTCCAACCCGCGGGCATGAGGGTTCTGTGGGCAGCACTGGTGCACGGTGACCTCAGACAGAGGTGCGGGGGAGGAGACAGGCGGGCAGGCGGGCGGGCCAGAGGCCGCAGGCTGTCGGACAGGCAGGACGGGACAGGCCCTGCCCGCAGGCCCGCCTGCGCTGGGGCTGCAGGAACCACTCACCAGCACGGCCATCTGCACGACGTCGGGCGGCTGCAGGAACTCCGGGTCCACAGCCGGCCACGGCTGCAGCAGCACGTCGGTGTCCCAGGCGTAGTGGGCGCAGAGCTTCCTGGGCACCAGTGCCAGGCCTGCAGGGTCAAGGCCAGAGGGTCACCGAGCGCACGCCGGCTCCGGAGGCCGCACCGCGGCTTTCCGAGCCTGCCAGGTGCTCCCCGCTGACTCCGGCCTGGCTTACGCCCAGGCTACAGGCAGCTCTTTCTCCCGGTGCCCGGAGCGGTGATGGGTGCACACACGTTCCAGGGAGACCGGGCTGCGGAACCCTGCAGTTCCCTCGGAGACAGAACGCCTCTGGGCTGAGAGCGGATCCCCAAACCCTGAGCCGCTGGCTTCCTCTCTGGGCGGAAACTACCGTGGTCTGAGGGCCCACGGCTTCTCTCCCCCTCCAGGAGGCGTTCCCGCCAATCACAGGCCTGGAGAGGGCTGACTGTGGCTCAGGGTGGGTCAGACACGCAGAGGCAGAGGAACCAACCCCCGAGAGCCTCCTGCTGCCCCCTGAGCTGGGGCGGCCGTGCCCAGGAGCTCCGCACCCGCAGGGCTGCAGTGCCAGCCGCCGGTGCCCGGGCTTCACCTGGGGCGCCCCCGGAGGACAGCTCTGATCTCGAAGCCTCTGCAGATCCCGAGAGCACAGGAGGTGCCCCCGAATGTGCGGGACACACACAGACAGAAAAACAGGGGCCTGGGCATGACTTAAACACATAGTCAATTTTCCTGGTTTTATTCAACCAATCCTCTTCCCTACTGGTCTGTGATGTTTCTTTTACAACATCTTAGAGATGGCTCGGCCCGTCTGCGATGAGGCGGAAACTCGGGCCTCAACGTGATCAACACCCCTGCTGCCTTCCTAGGGAGAGCCTCGCCACCAAAAGCTACGGTCGTCCTGTCTCGCTGTGCGCTGTGACACCCAATGCACCTTCTAAGCACGGGCTCCCTATCTCGTCGAGGGCTGTGTGCGACAGACTGGCAGGGCCAGGGGCCACAGTCCGATTTATCCTGTTGGCCTCGTCTTGATTCTAGCGTTAGTACCACAGGCGTTCCTGCTGCAGCTCCATCTATTTTCCTCTCGGGCCCTCTTGCAGTCCCGTGCTGCCCGTCAATCTCGGGGAAGCGATGGCCCCTTGGGCCCGCGATCGAGTGGTGGACAGGACAGGTTCCTGGCCCCGCTGGCCCCTGGGAGCTGGGGCTCCTGTGCTCGCCATGGAACCTGCTTTGCTTCTGACACACGTGCCTCCGGGCAGAGGCGGGAAGTAGCTGCCTGCCTGTTCCGCGGAACGGAACTTGCTGACACGCACATCTGAGCAGAAGGCGGAGGTCGCCAAGCGAGGCGGCCAAGGCCCAGGACAGCGGGTCCGGTGACCCACCCGCCCCGGGAAGAACTCCAGAACCTCCGCAAGGCACCGCACAGGATGCTGCCAGATGCAAGGACCTCTGAGAGAACGAGGAAGCCGGCCTTCCTGGAGCAATCCGGATGCGTATTTATAGCGCCGGGCCTGCGGGTTTCCATATGGACGGAGGGGCCGCCCTGCCAGGCCCTGGCGGACGCCGCCTCCTGCTCTCAGGGAAGCACGTGGAGAAAGTCCGAGCGCAGCTGGCAGGTGGCAGGCCCGGCACACTGGGCCGCCGTGCAGGGCCAGCCTGGCCCGTGGCCCACCTCCGCCCCTCTGGGAGAGCTGTCCTCACTGACCTTCCCGGGAAATAACGGAACCAAGCCCCTCCCCCTCGGAGAGCTGGCGAGGTAGAGCCACTGGGAGAGAGTGTGGGCGGTCACGCTCCTGTGGATGCCAGGCCTGCCTGGGGCCAACCTCAGGCACACACGGGGGCGCGGGAGAGAGGGAGCGTCTGACCCCCCTGCCTCGTCCAGCCCTCGCGATGCCGAGGAAGTGGACAGGAAGCGAGGCCGCATCGCTTTAGCCTTTGCCCACAGCAGGCCTCGCTGCCCCGGTAACAGGCCCAACTTGTTAATACACGCGTGTGCCTGGGGCCTGTGGCGAGGACACAGCAGAACTGCGGGCTCAGCGAGTGTCTGCTGGGCCCCTCGATGCCTTGGACCGGGACCCTCGGCTCAGAACAAGTGTTTACACCTGGGACCCTGCCTGGCGCCCCCACCTGCCTGAGGGGCGCCCGCCGTGGCTGGCATCAGCGTGCAGGACCGAGCCCCAGGATGTGGCCGAGATGTCCAGGGCCGTGTTCGTGCTGTTTCCTGCGCTCGGACTTTCTCCGGGGCCTCCCCAGGCCCGCTCCCGCCTGACCTGCGTGACGCACAGAAACCGTGGTCTTTGCCGTGCTTCTGCTTCCCTAAAGGAGCGGAGGCAGAGACCTGCACGGAGCCCGGTGGGGGTTTCGGTTCCTCACTGGCAGGACGGCCCATTCCCATCGATATGGAAACGCTGTTGTTATTTTCATTATTATTATTATTATAATTTTTAGAGAGAGTGGACGGGAGGGGGAGAGACAGAGAAATATCGATGTGAGAGACACATCAATTGGTTGCTTCCTACACGTGTCCTGACTGGGGGTCCAGACTGCAAGGAAAGTACACGCCCTTGATCGGAAGGGAACCTGTGACCTTTCAGTCCATGGGCTGATGATCCAACCACTGAGCAACCGGCCAGGGCTGTCTGGGTAGTCTCTCAAATGCCGCGAGTTCTTACCTTTCCTTGCCTTTGTCTTCACTCTCGAACGTGTTCAACCCTCATCAAGTCCCTACCATTACCCGCTCCGCTCCCTTTCCTTCTAAATCACTACCTCATGTCAGTGAAAATCACAACCTCCCATTCCAGGGCTCAGAGAATCCATCACAGGAAGCTCCCCCTTCCGCCCCGAACCATGGCTGTCCCCTCACTGGGAGCCGGTCAGGACAGCACCCAGTCACCACTTCCTCCTTGTGGTTCCCCGTCTCCTCGGCTCCCTTCGGTCTCTGAGAGACTGAGTGACGTTTCTGGCCGCATGTGGCCAACGGCACTTGTTTCAGCAGCCGGTGCTCTCCCCGTGTGACTCCCCGGGGCCTCTTGGCGGAAGGGCCGCGGTGAGGCCTACTTCTCAGAGGCCCCGGATAAAAGCACCGTGTGGACCCAGCATCCTAGGCGGCCGTCTCCTGCGAGCGCCTGTAAAACGTCCCAGTGGTCCCAGGAGACCACTGGACACAAGGTTTGGGGGCCCAGGGCCTGGGGCCCGCACAGCCACCTCACAGCACTTGTCACTTCACTCCCATTTCCGCGGGGGCCGCTGCGGGGCTCAGCGAGCGCCAGGAGGCTGGGTGCCGGGAGGAACGTTCTGTGGTGACAGCGGCGTTCACAGTCCCAAAGGGGGAGGTGTCTTCCCCTCAGGGCGGGGCGACCACAAAGCACCACTATTCTGAGCACAGATGTCAAACCCGGGCCCCTGGCGGAGGACATCTGAGCCCCGAATCAGGTTCTGCAAGAGGCTCGAGCACGCTCCGGGGACTGGTGACCGGTCAGGCGAGGACGCCCACCTACCTGCCCAGAGCTCGGAGGTTATGTGAGGGGCCATCGGAGCGGCCATCACCAGCAGGGCACACAGAGCGTCCTCGAACTCGGGGCTGTGGAGGACGACCCTCGGAGAGGCTTGCTGCGGGAGAGAAGAGGACACGGATGGGAGACTGAAGAGGCATGTGGGATACGCACGGCCAGCACGCCAGGATGCAGCTGACGTCCAGACACTCCGCGGGCTGGAAGCAGCCGTCCGGACCAGGCGGGCTGGCCTGGACCGAGCACTTTCGCCACTGGATGACAGTGTCCAAAAGAGCTTCGGCTGACCAACGTCAAGTCCATTACGCTTACCGGAGCACTTCCTGTGCCCTCCGCCTGACGCCCACTCTTGCGGCTCTCGCTGCCCTCTGAGGGTGGCGTTCTTACCCAAGGGGCAGCGGGAGCAGCTGAGGGTTAGAGGGAGCCATCTCCCCGGGCATGTGTCTAATAACTACCCCAGTTTTCATCTATCTTCTAATGTGGCATGCTTAACTATACCAATTTATAAATCTCTTCCCCTGTGTTTTTTTTTTTTTTTTTTTTTTAAATATATTTTATTGATTTTTTACAGAGAGGAAGGGAGAGGGATAGAGAGCTAGAAACATCGATGAGAGAGAAACATCGACCGGCTGCCTCCTGCACAACCCCCACTGGGGATGTGCCCGCAACCAAGGTACGTGCCCCTGAATGGAATCGAACCAGGGACCTTTCAGTCCGCAAACTGACGCTCTATCCACTGAGCCAAACCGGTTTCGGCTCTTCCCTCGTTCTTAAAAGCTTGGAGAGGGCTTTGTTATAAAAAGCATGTGTTCATAATTTTAATAGTTAATAGTTTAAATGTGTTAATACTTTTTTTCCTTTCCTTGTGCAAACAACTAACCCCTGGCCCAAGCTCCATCTGTTGGCAAGTGCTTCACCCGGCAAGAGCAAGGAGGGTCGCCTGCCCCAAGACGATGAGCCGTCCTGCAAAGGCTGACTTCTGTTCTTAGACTGGTCTAAGCCAGTGGTCGGCAAACTCATTAGTCAACAGAGCCAAACATCAACAGCACAACTACTGAAATTGCTTTGGAGAGCCACATTTTTTAAACTTCTTCTAACGCCACTTCTTCAAAATAGACTCACCCAGGCTGTGGTATTTTATGAAAGAGCCACACTCAAGGGGCCAAAGAGCCGCGGTTTGCCGACCGCTGGTCTAAGTGAATTAAAATGTTAATGATGCCCGGGGCGGGGGAGGGGGGCGGGGGGGTGGGGAGAGACAGACAGGCTGCTTACCCAGAGGGCCCCGCTCAGGCCCATCAGGTGAGAAATGGCCGAGTTCAGGGAGAAGTCCTCCGTGAAGTTGGCAGTCACCTAGGGGTGAAAACTGAATTATTCCCTTTCTTCAGAACTCCTCCAAGCTTCCCACAAAGAAACAGTGAAGCATCCGAAAGTGTGAGTTAAATGAGTGCAGTCGGAGCTATTTACTACACGTACGTGTTCACGGGCTCGACTCTTCACGCCAATGTCTCACCAGCACAGAGAGTGTTAAAACCACAGGGGGAGGTGCTGGTGCTCACGGCGGGTCCTGAGAAAACACCGGGAGGAGGAAGGACCCCTGGTGAGCAGACACAGGAACCAGAGCGGGCAGGAGGCGGGGAAAGGACACATTTCCCCTCGGCCGCTCGGCTTTGATGCCCAAGGAGGAGGATCAGCGCACGGGACAAGGTTAGTTTCTGTTTTCAAATGTGCAGTCCACATGGGGCCACGAATTCAACCTGTCAGCTTTGTCGTGTGTGTGTGTGTGTGTGTGTGTGTGTGTGTTTTCCGGTTTTGGCCACGGGCAAGGGGATAGAGAAGGAACACATCTTTAAGATGTCCAGAGTTCCTGCTGTGTTGAAATAACCCACTTCTATTATCTGACAGGACAGGAGGACTTGCCAGGCCCCGAGAGAAAGTATGTGGAATGAAAACAATCCCTCAGGCGCCACTCAGAGCACCAGCGCGCGCCCTGCCTCCGGCCTCCACGCCAGGGGACGGGCGGAAAGGAAGCTGAGGTGTCCCCAAACGAGACCAGGCTGGACCCGGGGCCACGCCAGGTCACACAGCCAGAGGGGAACAGCGCTCTCCTTCGCTCTCCTTCAGTGTCATCGGCTACCAATGTCCGGAAGTGACCGTGGCTGACTTTATACATTAAAACAAAACAAAAACCCCCACAGCCCGAGGAGCATTTGGGGTCCCTGGCACCCACTAAAAATGGTTTCAGGGTTCCTCAATGCCTCCTTTAGAGACTGTGACATTTCTACCAACTTCCTAAAAGGCGACTGTCGCCCTGGTGGCTCAGTGGCCTGGAGCGTCGTCTCATTCACCAGCAGGTGGCAGGCTCCACTCCCAGTCAGGGCACATACCCAAGTTGTGGGTTAGACACCCCCCTCGCCCCCCCCCCCCCCCCCCCCCGTCGGTACAGGTGACATCACTATTTCTCTCCCTCTCTCTTTCTCGCTCTCTAAAAACCAATTAAAAATGTATTCTCAGGTGGGGATAAAAAAAAGTTCCAACTAAAAAAAAAAAGGCAAATATCATTGTATTAGAGCAGATTCCTAGATTAAAAAAATTAAAGGTTTTTTTTTTTAATCAATGAAGAATATTTTTAAATGTTTAGATAATAATACACTATTCTCTAAGAATGTAATACGAATAAATCACTTATTTGCAAACATTAACCCACAATAACTCGCACAGATACCGTGTGACTAAGTCACTGGCTGGGCACGTCCTGCACCAGGGAACGTGGATCCTAGCCTCTCGGTTCCTCACTAGCTGTGTGACTTTCCACAAGACACTTACCCTCTCTGTGCCTCATCTCTGCCCCCATCTGTAGAATGTGGATGCAAAAGCAGAGAGTCCTTCATGCCCTATCACCTCTCCAATTCTGCTTCTGTCGCTCTACTCTAAGGTGTTAGTGTGGTCAGCGTGATCCTGAGCATCTTAGGTGTGGACACATGGAGAGCGGGCAGCTCCCTGAGGCCCGAGGGACAAATGGCGGGCCATCCTCAGAGGGGCCCCTCCGGAGAGCAAGTCTCCCCACGAGAGTGGCTGCACTTGCGCTCCGCCTCGGCGAAATGTCAAAGCAGCGGACGATCACCCAGGCCAGTGGGGCCACCCCGATGAGGAGGAGGACCCACGCGGGCCCACCGAGAGAAGGCGGCCACACAAACCTCGGGTGCCCGCCGGAGCCGCCCAGAGTCCCCGGGAAGCCGCTGACCTGGGAGATGATGGTGTTCTTGTACGCCCAGAGCTTGCGGGCCTCGGCTCTCTCCTCGCTGCTCAGCCGCTGGGGCCTGGGACCCTCCCCGGAAGCCCTGGCCTCGATGAAGCGGGTCGCCAAGGACCACAGCCGCTGCTGCCATCGCAGCACGCCCGGCAGCGCGTCGGCTGCGGAGGTGTCGGCAAACGAGAGGGAGAGAGAGACGTGTGGGAACGACTGGGTTACTAGAGCCTCGAAAAGCGCCCGGGAACTGCGGACACACTGGGCTGCGCCCCGGGGATGGATCCACGGGCAGGTGGGTGGTCCTCTCTGGCCGCCAGTGTCTGGGAACTCAGACCAGGGCGATTCCATCAGATCTCAGCGACCCAGACGCTCTGAGCGCCAGGCGGCGGGGCTGCTGAACGCGACGGCCACGCCTGTCCCTGCCCGCCCCGGGGAGCTCAGCTCGGCCAGGAAGTGCGTGCTGTGCGCCGCCTGATGAAGTGCCTGTGGCACCGGCAGGGAGCCTGGGACACAGTCCCATCTCACCGGGGCAGGTAACACCAGGGCGGCGGTCTGCAGACCGCTGGGAGCCAATCACGTACAGCACGAGCTGTTTGCACACGACGTGTCCTCGCCAGACGTGTGGCCTGCCTATGGCAACCCTGCTCGCCCAATCTGGGTGCTGGTCTGACTGCCAGGAGAAGCTGAGGGCCTTATCCTGTCGCCCTGGAACCAGGGTCAGCCAGCTGAAGGCCAGGCCAGCCTTTCCTCTTGGGCCACTGGACGAGGCGTTCCTAAGCCCCATGCACAGGGACCTTAGGGAAGGCTCGCTGGGAGCAGCTGCCTGGGGGCCGCCTGCAGGGGGCAGCACTGTGCCCCCAGGTCTGCACTTCCTCATCCTGGGCTCTGAGGCTGCAGGGCCAGCACTGGCGCCTGTGACGGCCGCCCCCCTACCAGTGAGGGGGCAAACTGGGGGGTGACCCAGGCATCCGCACGCATCTTTCCATCACACGTGTGAGGCAGGCCACCGAGGAAGCGTGAATGGCCGCTGGACAGGTACCCAGGACACCCACATGATCTTACATATTTATTACACATATTACTTGTAAGCATGTAATATGCATGCCACATAATACCCATGCTAAATATGTAATGTGTGTATGAAAGATACGTATGCTATTGATAAGAACATGATGTGTATGTATGGTAATATAATAAATCCAAGGTCAGTTTCCTGCGTGCCGTTGTAGATCTAAATGGCTTCCAGAGAGACTTCCCCGAGCGGGCTCTGGAGGCTGTGGCGACCGGAGAGGCCACGTATCAGCAGGCCCAGGCCCGGGCCCAGGCCCAGGCGGGGTTCCTGCACTGGTGAGGGTGGTGACACTTCTAGAAAGACCCTGTCAGGGCAGATCAGGGGCCCAGGGGCAGCATGGAGGCCAGTCTGGCTCCAAGGACACGCTCTCAAGGTGGGGCCTTGTGGAACCCGGGTCCAGGCTCCTGGGCCCGCCCGGGGCCGTGGTGGCGGGAGTGAGGACGGGGAGCTCATGATGCCAATGAGCTCCCGGGGGCACCGCCCTGGCCTATGTGGACAGACGGCCACTCGCCTCACGGGCCCACAGACCCCTCTCCCACGGCCGTCGGCCAGGACAGCGGCGTCCCCGGTGCCCTCGGCGTACAGGCTGATGGCAAAGGGGGCCGGGCAGGAAGAGGCGGGCGACTTACTCTTGACGTCCCACAGGATGTCCTTCTCCGGGGGCGCGGCGAAGAGCAGGTAGAGGCGCACCGTGTCGATGCCGTACTGCCGCACCACCTCCTCGGGGTCCACGCCGTTGTGCTTGGACTTGCTCATCTTCTCCCACGTCACCTCCAGCCGCTCCTTGGTTTCGGCGTGAACAGGGACAGGACCTGGATCCAACAGAACACGTAGGTCCGGCGTGTGCAACCCTGACCTGGTTCTATGAACGGAACTGGTTCTATGAAAACGCATTCAATAAGAGAATGGTGGGTGAGCAGTTACAAGTGCCCATGGGAACCCCAATAATTCACTGAACAAGCCCCTCTCGCTCCATCCGCATTATATTACGAAAAATAAAAAAAAAATGTTTTTACGTGAATAAGGCTCACGTCCTGCCACAAATCTTCCTTCACGAATGTACAATTTTTCCTCAGCCACAAAATAAGACAAGACAATCTCTCCTTTTGTAAGAGTATGCACCGCAAGAGGAACTGAGAAAGGATAAGGAGGACTCCTACGCATTGCCCTCTTCCCTGTGGATTCGGGGTTTCCTATGGGAGCTGGCGCTGACCAAAGGCCTCGGAGCAGCACAGCGTCCTGCCTCTCGGCCACTGGCCGCCAGGCCTGGTCTTGGTGTCCACGTCTTAGTCACCAGTGATCGCGCACTGTCAGGGCCACGGAGCTAACGCACTGGGCTCACAGGAACGTGGTCCCTCGGTGCCCTCAGCGCCACGGCCCGTTCTTGGAAGTGTCTCCTTCCCCCCCCCACACGCAGTGGCCCAGAGGGCGGAGGCGGAGGAGGCCTGACATGGCCATGTTTGGAGGAGGTGACCTTGCTCCCAAGCCAAGCCTAGCGGCCGGGACCAGGAAGGACATCTGGCCGGGCTAAGCCTCTTTCTCAGGGCCTGGAACTAGGGGACAGAAGCTGTTGGGATGGCGCCGGGCACTGCAGCCATAAAACCTGGAGGGATGGGGCGAGACCTGGCACAGTGGCTCCCTAAGGCCGCTCTGCAAACGGAAATCAGGGACGAGCAGAACCCAAGCCTGGGAAACAGGACAGAGGGAAGCAGGAAGAGGAACCCGGGGCGGAGGAGAGGGGGGAGAGAGGAGGGGCCTGGGGACGTCCCCCACGGGGTGGGGCTGCTGGTATTTCCTGCAGCTGCGACGGGGTGATGCCCCCACATCCTTGTGCTAAACCCGTCCAACGCCCACGGGACCGAAACATGTGCCTAAAAGCCAAGTCCACACTTCAGGAGAGGAACACACACTAAGTGGACCGAGGCCTACCCCGCTGACCAGATCCTCCCCCGGGGACACATCTCCGTGCCGGGGCAGAGGGAGGGCTTGGGTGCAGGCTGTGCTGAGGCTCAGGGAACCTGCTGCGCGAACCGGGAGATTCAGGAAAAAGGCATCTTCCCGGGTAGGGGAAGCCGAGGACTTAAAATGCCCCCTCTTGGCAGAGGTGGCTCTGAGTGTCTAGCCTGGTGCGTGGCTGGCTGGCAGGCCCCGCTCACGCCCTCGGCTGCCGCCCGTGTGCCGGGACCACGTCCCTCACAGCTGGATTCTGTGCCCTGGTCTGCGCCGGAGAAACACGGCCGGTTTCTGCTTCTCCAGCTCCGTTTTCTCCCACGGCGACCACTGTTATCCGGACACGTGACTGCTCCGATGGCTTGGCGTGGGAGGCTGCGGAGCTGAAGGGGTGCAGGCTTCACCTCATCTCACCCACTGGGCGCTGGCTTTGCAAAGAAGCTCAGGGCCAGAGTGCTGGGGGTCCTCCCAGCTGCCTCTGTGCCACCCCCTCCCGCTCCTTTGGACGCGTGTGGGGTGCACAGTGCATGTGCTCACCAGGCCACCTACGGAGCCGGGGGAGGCGCTCTGGGTGAGGAGGAGCGAAGCACAGGGTGGAGGGAGAGGCTCGGAAGAGCGGGGAGGGGAGGCCGTGCAGGGAATGAGGGAGGGTGCCCACCAGGTAGCGCTGGACCTGAATGGGGGGGTGGGGGCCCTCTGGGGGCCGCGGGAGCAAGTAGAGAGGTGGCTCCCAGCTCCTCCAATGCGCCTCCAGACACGTGGCAGGCACGGTGGGGGGACCCCAGTTTCCTGGCCGGGAGCTGCCCCAGAAAGGGGCTGTCAGACACAAACTGGCTCCATGTTACACATGGATGAACACCCGCCGTAGCTAACGGGCCGGATTGGCTGGGGCTGAGCGGCCAGCAGCCAGGCCCTGCCGCCGGCAGAGGGCGGCCCAGAGCCGGCTGAGGCTGAGACCGGGAGGCCCTGGCCCCGCTCTGGCTTCGCGCCCAGCCAAGGCCTTTGCCAGGGGCCCTCAGGCCCGGCCTCGGTCCTCTGCACCCGCCTGGATGGGACCGGGTGGCCACTCTTACCTGTGAGATCGACCTCCTCTCGCTGCAGATACTGCCCCGAAGGAAGGCGGAACGTCTGCCCCTTGATAAGGCCCTGGGCCAGCAGCTTATGGAAAGGCTCTCTGAGGAGAGAGAGCAGGAAAAGGGAACTGGTGGGACAGGTATTCACAGCAGCCGGAAAGCAGCAACTGGAGAGAGAGAGGACCACCCTCTGAAAACCGCCACATGCAAACCCACTTGAGCAAGTGGCTCCTTCTAAGTAAGTGTAAGAGGCCTGGCCGGCCGCTCAGTGGGTCTGAGGGTCGGCCCATACGCCAAGGCTGCGGGTGCGACCTCCGGGCAGGGCACACACGAGCAGCAACCCGTGAGTGTGCTCACAAGTCGATGTTCATTCTCTTTTCTCTCTCTCTCTTTTTTTTTTTTTACTTTCTCTCTCTCAAAATTTGTCAATAAATACATAAATAACCAATACATACAAGTGGTAAAAAACAGTGAAATCAAACCAGCAGGCACTAACTCCTTTCGGAAGGCCTGGCCTTGAGTCTCCATTCTGCCTCTAAGGAATCCTCTGAGCCAGGCGATTCCCTCGTTCCCAGCATCAGTGTTTATCGTAGGGGGCCGCAGTAGGAATCTGCCTCCAAGGGCCGTTGGGGAGATGGAACGGAGTGACCGCGAGAAAACACTCGAAAGGTGTAAAGAGCCGCACGGATGCCGCTGCGCGCCGAGCGCAACGGGGAAGGGCCGGGAACACGGACGTTCACGCTGGGGCTGTCTGCAGGCACCTTCCCCTTAGCCTTACGTTCAGGGCCTGCTTTAGACATCTGTAACTCAGACAGATCACACAGGAACACACGCTTTCTGTTCATCAAACACCACCCCCCCCCCAGGCCTACTCCCCTCTGAGGAGGCAGTGATTCTCAGTAGTCTGGTGAATATTCTGGAAAAGTCTGCAGACTTTTTCCAAAACCTTTCCCATACAAACCTGTATATGCACATATATGGCTGTAGAGACTCCTGGGTGGATTTAAATCGTTGCGATCATAGTGTACATTACTTCGTGGCATTTCATTTAACATGAATGTTCTTATCCCCACAGCAGTCCGTACAGATCTGTACCATTTTTTATGTTATTTATTTTTGTTAATCCTCACCAGAGCATTTTTTTCCATTGATTTTTTTTTTAGTGGGAGTGGTAGGGAAGGGGAGAGAGAGAGAGAGAGGGAGACATATCGCCTCCCGCATGGGCCCTGACCTGGGCAGGGCATCAAGCCTGCAACCAACGCATGTGCCCTGAACCAGGAATCGAACCCGGGACGCTGTGGTCCACTGGCTGATGGTCTAACCGGGGAGGGCATGTAGCTCATACTGAAACACCCATCTCGTGTTCTACAATATACATGGATTGTCATTTATTTACATTGCCTGTGTTTTGGTGTTTTTTTTTCCTTAAAAAAAAAGTAGCCTTTAGTCACACCCTTACTGGATGAATAGTAAAATACAAACTTTTTCTCTAAAGAGGACAAGTTGAGGTGGACCCTCACACTGAATCACTTCCTTTCAGATTTAAAACGTTTACTCTGAAGAGTCCACCTGATTCAGCTTAGCGGCCCGCGGGCAAGAGCTGGTCTCACTCCAGGAGTGACCCGCGGAGACGCGGCTGCTCCCCGGTCCGGCCCGGCTGCACATCCACGGAGACGCGGGAGGCTCGGTGGTGTTCCCACGCACGTCGCCGGCAGCCCCCCTCCCTCTCCACATGCAAACCTTGGGCTCCGGGTTCACGTACACAGAGTGGCTTTTAGGTCGAGGTTCAAAAGACCCGGTACCTTCAGAGGCGGCACCGACCACAATCTTCACTCTAGTGAGGTAGGCGAGAAGGCTGGCTTTGCTGATCTCGTAGACAGAGGCGAGGCGGTTCAAAGGGAACTTTCCAGGGGGTTGAGAGAGGGGGCGGGAGGGGTAAGAGTGGAACAAAGAGACTGAGCAGGAATGAGATGAGGGTCGGCTAGAAAAAAAGGAATCCTGGCCTGCGTATTTTATAACCTTGTTATGAGCAGTGTACGTGTGCACAGGCTGCTGCCCGAGCGTAGAAACGGGGTGAAACTTCCCCGCAGCAGCGCTGGGCGCGGGAGGACGCGGGTAACTTCCCCGCCTGCCAGGCGCGGAGGATGCTCCTGCGCTAATGTTCACCGTCTTGCCTCTCGGCTCTCACTGCGAGTCCCTGGCTTTGGTCACTCTTAAGAGAGATTTTAAAAAGATGTCTTAGGGGCGGAAGGAGGGAGGGAACAATCCAGATTCCCAAAGATAAGATCAGCAGTAGCATTTAATCCTCAAGAGAGGTAGGCGAAGAACGGAACCCCTTCTCGGTTCTTGCAGCTTATCGAGTGGCGCAACGCCGCCACCTTCTGGGACCGAGCGGAATTGCAACCTGCCTGCATGCGAGCCTACCTCTAGCGGGCGGCCAATGCTGCACTCTTCAGGCCTCAGAAACGTAAACCTCTGGGAGTTTTTGAGAGAGAAACATCAATGTGAGAGAGACACAACAATTGGTTGCCTCCAGCTAGTCTCCTGACTGGGGCCAGGGACTGAGCCTGCAACTATGTGCCCTTGACCAGAATTGAACCCGAGACCCTTCAGTCCACAGGCCAACGCTCTGTCCACTGAGCCAAACTGGTTAGGGCAAAAACAACTACCTTTTACTTGCAGTTCAGCACACATCCTGAAAAGCATATAAATCCCAAGGGTCAAACTTGATGAATTTTCACAACATAAACACACACACTGGTGTAACCAGCGTCCAGGTCAATGACCAGAATGTTCCAGGGACACCACCGTGGGCACCGCCAGCCTGGCTGCTGACACCATGGCTTAGTTCTGCCCGTTTCAGAACCACTTCTGGCTCTTTTGGAGTGCGGCATCTTGGGCGTGTCCACCCTGGATGGAGGCTGTCCCCAGACCTGGCAGGTGGGACTCAGCGGGCAGGGCAGAATCAAGGCCTGCTCCTTGCAGGAGTCGGTCTTAATTTCTGAAATACGGGGACACAGCTGGTAGCTTAGGCTCACTGGGCCCTCCTCCCCCAGCCGTCCTGGCAGCATCGCCGGGAGCAGGGATGGCGGGACTGCCCAGATGCCCTGACCCCTCTCTTCCAAACATCCCAGACCCTGGCAGCTGTCCCCAGCTGCCTCAGACTGAGTGTCAAATTCTTCTTAGTACCACATTCTCAGAAAGCAGAGTCACCATGTGAATTCTTGATTTTTATCCAACAGGGGTCTACTGAGTGCCTCCTATGTGTCTGGTGCTGAGCCAGGCCCTGGGGATGTCCTGGTGGGCAAAGCATGCCCACCCTCAGGGAGCCAGCCCTGGGCTCTCCCTGCACCAAACCACTGCCCAAGCACCCTGAGAGCTGGGTGGATGTGTGTGGGGGGAGGGAGCTTTTGCAGGGAGAGGTACACTGATAGATTTCAAACTGTCAACTTCAAGCTCGAAGGAGGAGCAGCAGGAACAAGGGAACGAGTAGGAGAGAACCCCGAGCGTTTGCAAGGAATTTCATAGTGGGGGAGGGTGCTCCCCAGCTCCTGAGACTGCTCATTCCCTCATTCCCGTGATCCCCGCCTGCCTCTTCCAGGGCCCCAGCGGGGCTCCTCAGGCCTGCGGGGGTCTGGTTCTCATTTTCTTGGCTGAAGCCAGCCACATCCGCCCCCACGTGCAGTTAGCTCTAAATGAGGGCTCACGCTTATTTATTCAACACACATCTGAGCAACAACTGGGTGCCGAGCACTCTGCAATCTATCAGAAAGCTCACATACTCATAAATAACACCTGGCACCTTCAGGAGGGCACTGGGTGAGATATCAGGGGCATGGTGCCCGGGGTGGGGTGGGGGGGCGGAGGGAAGAGGGTCAAGGGGATGTCAAGGGCCCTGCTGGACTTGGAACAATCCAGCTGGAGCAGAGATCACACCACACTGCCAAGTTCATTATCGAGATGCACAGCTGGCGTAAGGCACTCCCCATTTGTTTGTGCCTTCATTCACTCATTCATCAGTGACTGTGGGGGGGGAGGGGGGAAGGAGGGGAGGATGGTGTTTAAAAGAAAGCAAAATGCCTGCAACTCTAAACCATCAACAAAGCCCTGACTGGGGACCATCAGAGTGGGGGCGGCATGCGGGGCGGCTGCCTGGAGGACGGCCGACGATGGCTTCGTTTCACGAATTCACATCTGTGCGCCTTGTTCTGAGGGCTTCCTCCTGCTCCTTTCACACCCCCGCTGGGGGTGGGCTGCGTTGCTTGCACTGCAACACAGCTGCGGGCGTGCGGAATGGTGCATCTTTGTGCTTCCTCGACTGTCTGGACTGCACTAACTCAGAAATTACAACTGTTCCTGCTGGCCACTGAAGGCACCTTTATCCCACCAGGAGAGGAAGGGAGGGAGGAGAGAAGGAGGGAGGGATGGAAAGGGAGGGAGTTGCTAATTAATAGAATAAACAAGGAATTCAGAGCATAATTGATAGGCTCTTTTAAACACCCTTATGCAAATCACTGCCTGCAGGGAATACGCTAAGTAAGAGTGGCTAGGAGGATCCCAGGGCTCAGCTGGGCCCTAAGCAGTCACTGTGGACGGCACTGACCTACTTAGAAAGCCCCTGAGAGCCGCTGCCACCTTCGGACAGGTCTGGTGGCCAGCCTGTGTATCTTGGAAAAAGAAAACAGGAAGTCAGGGATCTCTGAAAACATCTCCAGCTTGGACTTCCCAGACTGAATTCGCCTCCGCGTCTCGGACCACTAGGTGCACAGCATCAGCCAGTTTCAAAGCTTGAAGCCATGGCTCATTCTTAAAGCATCACCATTTCTGTTTCCTAGCAGCCGGCCAGCAGCTCACAGGGAGACCTTGTTAATACAGCGAGACCCATCGAAGCTTCTCTCCCATTCCCTCCCCTCCCTTCTCCCAGGAGCCCGCTCCGGTGTGGCCAGGGGAGCAGGAGAGAGCCCCGCGGACAGGGCCCGCTGAGCTCCCAGGGTCAGCAGAGGCTGCTGACAGGGGAGCAGTGAACTATGACCTCCTGGTTCCTGGGTCAACGCTCAACCACTTAGCCACACCATCCGGGCATCAAATATGGTTTTAACCCACTGAGAAGTCACGAAAGCAGCCAGGCCTTTCCTAAACTTTAAAACAGGCAGCCATTGAGTGAGTCATTGATTCAGTTACTTCCACAAAGAGCTGCTTGGAGCAAGGTGCCCTGCCGTGAAGAACAGAAGTCACTTACAGCCTTTGTGTCTAGACCCACGTGGGACACTGGGCCTTTGTACTTAACCTCTATCCGATTCTCCCCACACCAAGGGGAGCCCTTCCTCTGAAGAACATAAACTTGTATCTGTTTATGTCAAGGGTTCAACTCGATTTATTCCCCGAGGATCAAAGCTGTCAACGTGTTTCGTTCCTGACACGGGTCAGTTTATTTTTACGTGCAGAGCTCTCTGGATCTAATGAGAAGAAAATTATCTTACATATTTAATTTGCGTCCTGAGTTAGTTTTCTGTGCAGCAGACTTCCCGTCCATGTGTAATGAAACTGGCTGTCATATACATTCCGGAGGCTTTAAGAATGACATTGTTTATCTTTCAAAAATGTAAAAACACAAATCCTCTGACCCAGCATTCCCGTGTGAGGACTTGAACCTGCAGACGGGATTCCAAATACCCACCAAGAGTATCGGCAAAGAGTCATCAGACATTTTAATTTTTTTTTTTGTAACAGCAACTGAACAAATAGATGACTGCTTAAATATGTTATGGCATCTCCATATGGTGGAACACGACGAATAGGTTAAAAAGAACAGAATATGTACATTTAATCCTCATCTGAGGATATCTTTCCATTGTTTTTTAGAGAGCGGAAGAAAGAGGAAACAACAGAGAGAAACATCGATGTGAAAGAAACACATCGATTGGCTGCCTCCTGCACAAGCCCTGGGCCGGGGAGGAGCCGGCAACCGAGGCAGGTGCCCTTGACTGGAACTGAACCCAGGACCCTTCGGTCCGCAGGCCGATGCTCTATCCACTGAGCCACACCAGCCAGGGTAAAAGAGAAGATTTGTATGTGCGATATGGAAAGATCACCAAGATATATCACTGAATCAAAAAAAGTAAAAGACATACATATAACGTATGTAACATGTCAAAATGAATATATCAATAGAAACATGGAGCTATGCAAAAATTTTTTGGGGGAAGAAATCAAAAGACACTGTTAGCAGGTTGAGGAGAAGGGTGCAGGGTGGGATGCGGGAGGTTTCAGTGTTCCCTTTTTGGGTGGCTAAAACATTTTAATCTTAGACATGCATAATCACTTCCATTTGTTAACCAGGGCTATCTGGCGAGGGAGAAACTTTTCTCTGCAATTAAAAAAATGGTCTAAAAGCCCTGACCAGTTAGCTTAGTTGGTAGAACTTTGTCCCAATATGCCAAGGTTGCAGGCTCGATCCCTGGTCAGGACACACACAAGAATCAACCAATGAATGCATAAATAAGTTGAAAAACAAATTGATCTCTCTCTCTCTCTCTCAAATCAATCAATAAAAAATTTAATAATATTCTAAAAGATGTTGCATTAAAAGAGGACAAATGAGCCGAAACCGGTTTGGCTCAGTGGATAGAGCATCGGTCTGTGGACTGAAAGGTTCCAGGTTCGATTCCGGTCAAGGGCATGTACCTGAGTTGCGGGCACATCCCCGGTAGGGGGTGTGCAGGAGGCAGCTGGTCGATGTTTCTCTCTCATCGACGTTTCTAGCTCTCTATCTCTCTCCCTTCCTCTCTGTAAAAAATCAATAAAAAAAAAAAAAAAATATATATATATATATATATATATATATATATATATATATATATATAAAGGACAAATGAATTATGTAAAACATGGTCATGGAGCTGGCAAACTCACAAAAGAACTAATAGTTGGACCTTCAAGAAAGAACATGACAGCTATTCTAAAGCATGTGTTTTGGAAAAATGGGACATGACTTCAGATGATAAGATCAGAGATACAAGAAGGAAGAGTGAGAAAAGATATTAGCAATTCCAACCACATTCCCACTGGATACTTCTGTGGGTCTGAGAAGCTGAATCTGAAATGTACCTGGGAGAACAAAGGTCCAATCACAGCTAAGATACTCCCAGAGAGAAAGAATAAAGTAGTAGGACTTCCCTCACTGAATATTAAGACTCATAAAATTAAAATAAATCCAGGAAGTAACTAGCACGGCAAAGAACAAACAAACCAAGGGAAGGAATAAAGAGCCTATAATACGCCCTTGCTTATATGTGAAAATTTGATTTATGAGGGAGAGGACTCTACTGATCAGGGTGGAAATGGATGCTACTGAGACACTAAAAGCAATGACAGGTTATTAAAATTTACTACAAGGTTTTGTTCATTAAAGACATAAAAGTAAGGCAAGCTAAGGACAGGGGGAAAATACTTGCAATTCATAAACTAAAAAACATTAGCATCCAGAATAACTCAAGAATTCCAACAAACAATAGAACACTACCCAGAAGAAACACGGACAGCCCAGCCAGTGTGCCTCAGTGGTTGAGCACAGAAGGTCACAATTCCATTAGGGCACAGGCCCGGGCTGCGGGCTCAGTCCCCAGTAGGGGGCGCGCAGGAGGCAGCCGATCAATGATTCTCACTCATCACTGATGTTTCTATCTCTCTCCCTCTCCCTTCCTCTCTGAAATCAATAAAAGTAGATTAAAAAAAAAAGAAATAAGAGCGAAGGATACAATCAGGGATTCAGTATAAGAGGAAGCACAGGGGACCATAAACCTTAAAGACGTGCCAAACTTCAGTAAGTCAGCAAGGTTGTTAATGCAGATCTAGCCCACAGAGCAATCCGTTCTATAATCACCAGTTTTTCAAAATGTAAAGCTGTTGTCATGAAGAAGGCATAGATAGAGCAACAGGAGCCCTCATCGCTGTGGAGGGAGTGGGTTTATGTAGCCAACATGGTGTTCCTGAGTCAAGCTGAACGTGTGCAAACCCCACAAGCGGCAGCTCTCCTCTTAGGGACACCACCGAGAACCGCTGACACGTGGGCCAGGAGTCATGTACAAGAATGCTCACAGCAGTTTGTTCAGAACTGCACCAAACAGCCCAGCGACCGCTACCAGGGGTTTGGTCACATACACCGGGTTCTGCATTAGAATCCATTCCTTGTAACGGACACCGCAGTGCAAGAGAGGAACGATATGACTCCGTGCAGCAACGTGGATGAACCAGGAGTGTTGAACAAGTAAAGCAGGACAGAGCATGTGAAATAGGATCCTACTCAACACAGGAAAACTAAACAGTGCATATTGTTTAAATATATATATTTAAATACACACACACACACACACACACGTATGTATATATACATACATACACACACACTAGATGCCTCTTGCAGGAAGATTCCTGCTATAGTCACTGCCCAGCCTGCTTCCCTTCCTTCTCCTTCGATCCACTTGCCTTCTTTCTAAGCATCTTTATGAAAATTAACTGCCATCTTGATTTGGTTAATTTGCATACTTGCCCTGATTGGCTGGTGGTGGGGCTTGTGGGCGTAGCAAAGGTGTCAATTTGCATGTTTCTCTTTTATTAGATAGGATACACACACACACACATGTATACACACACACACACACACACACAGATGTGATACATTTATAAAGAAAAGTAAGAGAGTGAATAATTCAAGATTCAGGGCAGCATTTGGTTTGCTGGGCGAGGGGTGGTGGAGGAGGAAGAGGGATGTTAGGATTGGAGAGGGCACCCCGGGACTCCAAGGAACCTGTAACACTGTTTCTTAAACTGAGAAGAGGGTGCATGGAACTTCATTGTATGCTTTAAGTCACATGTGTCAAACACAAGGCCCTCGGGCCAAATCCGTCCCGCCAGGCCTTGCAATGTGGCCCGCACCGCGCTGTCATCACTGCACTCCGCTGCGTTTCCATCACAATGACAGTTTATGACTGTTCAGTAAACCATTCGGCCCGCGATTTAGGCTGGATTTTAGATTTTGGCCCCTTCTCTGATTGAGTTCGACACCCCTACTTTAAGTTGTTTAGAACATTAAATACATATAATATATATATGACATACTTCATGGGAAAAAGCACACACACATCTTTCTGAACATCCTGGGGAGTAGATCACAGGCCAAGAGGAAGAGTATTTATCAATGGATTCACAATGTGATTCCCTAGCTTTTAATCCGTTACATATTTTTATCAGAGTGATATATTGAGGCAGGATTCAGTCCAGCTTGGAAACGGAGCTTAGACCGAGGAGCTAGAAGATAAATATGACCTAACCTGAGAAGCGACAAAAAGCTGTAGTGAAACTCATAAACCGCTCTCTCTGCCTCTCAAGTAAAAATTTCAGACAGAGAAGGGCTGAAGGCAAGATTTGATGGGAACACGCAGTACCACTTGCTACAACAATTAAGCAACAGACACACACTTCCAGTGGTTCAGGCCGACCTGACCGCTAAAATATACTCGAACAACAGAATTCTGTGACATACACTTACTGGCTTCAGTACGGATGCCCGCTTTCAGTTGCTGTTCATGGTGCTGAATTCTTTTGCAAAGCGGCCTGACTGCTCACCTGTGCTTGACCATTTTCTGATCGTGGCAGAAATGACTGAAGAATCTCGCATAGAACAGGTGCATGACGGCGTGCTCCTTCCCCCCAATGTACAGATCCACAGGCATCCAGTAATCTGCCAGCGCGGGGCTAAAAGGGCTGGGAGAAGGAGAAATGACCATTTTTTTAAAAACCTGCTTTGCCACAGTTTCATAAATAAGACAGATGGGTTGTAATTTGCATATGCCCTGAAATAAATTATGTCAGAGAAAAACGCTGATTTCCTTTTTAAAATATAATAAGAGAGCCCAGCGGCCATGCTCAGCGGTCGAGCGTGAACCAGGAGGTCACAGTTCAGTTCCTGTCAGGGCCCGTGCCCGGTGACAGGCTCCATCCCCAGGGTGGAGCATGCAGGAGGCAACCGATCAATGATTCTCTCTCTCTCTCTCTCTCTCTCTCTCTCTCTCTCTCTCTCTCTCTCTCCCCCCCTTCCTTCCTCTCTAAAATTAAAAAAGAAAAAGGGGTATTTCTGTATAAAGCATGTTTGAATATCTAAATTTATTTTAAATTTTATTTTAACAGAAAATTGAGATTTCTGAGTCCTTACCAACAGGGGGCAATGTGGCATTTACAATGGGCACTATTATCATGCGGACACTAAATGTTTATTTTAAAACAGAAATTCAATCTTATTTTTTAAATGCAGACAGCAAGAGCTTGTATTTGGCTCCTAAATGCAATGAGCAAACTTAGGGTACCTGTCAGAAAAGGGCCCACAACTCTCTGTAGTTCACAGAGAACCTCCTGGCATACTCCCGGCACTCAGGGATGCGGGGGCAGGAGAAGGAGGGGAGACACCACTTCCTGTGATGATGACTACTGGAGGTGTGTGAGTGTGCAGAGGTGTGTGTGTGTGAGTGTGCAGGTGTGTGTGTGTGTGTGTGTGTGTGTGTGTGTGAGCAAAGATGTGTGAGTGTGCAGAGGCATGTGTGTGTGTGAGTGTGCAGAAGTGTGTGTGTGTGTGTGTGTGTGAGTGTGTGTGTGTGTGTGTGAGCAAAGGTGTGTGAGTGTGCAGAGGCATGTGTGTGTGTGAGTGTGCAGAAGTGTGTGTGTGTGTGCACACGCAGAAGCGTGTGTGTGTGTGTGTGTGTGAGTGTGTGTGTGTGTGTGCAGAAGTATGTGTGTGTGCGTGTGTGTGCGTGCGTGTGTGTGTGTGTGTGTGTGTGTGTGTACATGTGTTGGGGGGCAGTGCAGGCTGGGACAGACCTCTTCATTCCCAGGGACTGCCCTCACTGAGGCCATCAGTGCAGTACACGCCTCTGCAGGAGGTGTACTCCATGATTCCAGTATCTGAGTCCCCTCCCCCCCCTCTCCCCCAGCATTGGCTCGGCTGGCTCTGGCTCCTGTTGCTAAGCAGGTGAGCCTGTCCAACCACCACGCGTTAGCATCTTACTGCAGCTTGGTCTCTCCTGCAGTCAGAATTCTAGTAAAATTAAAAAAAAATTTTTTTTTCTTTGTGAAAAATGGTTCCCCAGAGAAATCCAATGGCTGATCCAGTGACAGAAGAAAAAGGGAAGTCGGGATGGTAATTAGCCCCGAACGAGTTTCAGATAAACTAAGGACGGAGATGCTGAAAGCAGCTACAGCTCGGACCTGCGATCTGCCAGGGGACCACCGAGGGAGGCCCTAGCCGGTGCTGAAATGGGCGGCAGACTCTGGGAAGGAAACGAGCTCCTGGCGTCCCCAGGCTGGGGCTGAGGCGGCCAGGACTGCCTCCCTCCGCCGTTCAGAGTCTCCCTCATCTATGGGAAGCTGCTCCTCCGAGGCTCTGAGAGGGGCACAGCCTGCATCCCGCATCACAGCGGCTGCTACTCGGTGGACCCACCACAGAGCCTTCTGGAAGGAGGACCCAGGAGAGGGTCCCTCAGTGGGTGAGCCGGGCCATCCTGGCTGTTCCCAGCCTCAGCAGTCACCCCACACCCTTTCTGTCTTTGCTGGTTGCTGTTCCCTCACCTGGCTCACCGGGATATTAGAAAAAGGGGCCTTTTATACCAGGCCTCCGGGTTTCAGAGCAATTGTTCCCCTGCAGACAAGAGCGAGCCCGCAAGTCCTCTGAGCACAGCAGCTTTTTTGTGTTTTTTCCTGTGCTCGGGGATTGCTTTCTTTTGTTTTCATTCTCTCTCTACTTATCTAACCTCCTGCGCTCCTCCCCTCATTTGTCTGCCTTTTCCAGGGAACACACGCACACAGATAAAAACCTAACAGCAGGGAGGGTTTGACATTTGGAGCAGTGCTCTCCAGCCCCATCCCTTCAATAACCCCTTCTCCCCACACACCTGCCACTCCTCAGCCGCGTTTGATCCTCTTAGCTGCTGCTTCTGACAGTTATTAAAAAATATGTGCAGACTCCTCATTGATTTATCAGTTTTAGATTCTAACTGCTGACAGTGTGTGATAAGAGATGGTGTTTCTTAGCTCTCATACTCCCTGCTCCTACCTTCCTTGCATAGTTCCATCATTATTTCCAGTCGAGCAAATGACATTAGAGCTTTATAATCGCATAAATGCAGGCCAGTGTGGGGCCGGGGGGCGTGGCTCCAGCACTTCCCCCTTCCCGTGTGCTTTATCTTTCCCGGGCTTGGGACTTACTTGGCCACGAAGAGTCTAATTCCATCATCTAACAGGCTCCCTTGACAAGATCTGCTTCAAGGAGCAGAGTGACCAACAGCTCCCAGCAGTTCCACCTGTAAGTCCACGGGGGCCCAGCCAGCGTGGCTCGGTGGTTGAGCGTGGACACATGAAATAGGAGGGCGCAGTTCGATTCACAGTTAGGACACACGCCTGGGTTGCAGGCTCGATCCCAGGTGTGGGAGGTGCAGGAGGCAGCCAATCAATGATGTTTCTCTCTCTCTCTCCCTCTCCCTTCCTCTCTGAAATCAATAAAATATATATGTATATATATATATGTTAAAAAAAAAAAATCCACTTGGTGTCCTCGCTGTGCCAGGACCAGGGCGGAGTCCTCTTTGCCTGACCGGGGACTCTCGATGGGCAAGCTTCGCACGAGGCATCCTGTTGGCGTGGCCGAGACGGCCTCGAGCTGCATTTGGTCTGCGGCTCTTCCTACCCACCCCCGTCCTTCCCTGAGCCCCTTCCCCGTGTGTGACCAGCTGCACGGCCGACTCCCGCTCCCTCGCCCTCCATTGCTCATAGGCACCTCCCGCAGGCAGAGTCCTGCACGTCTAATGCACTCGGCCTGAGCTTCCGGGAAGTCCCTGGCGGACACGTGCCCAGAGCCGGGCGGGGCTCACCTGTGTGCGTTCCGGGGGTCGGTGTACCGGAAGTAGTACCAGGCGGAATCCACAAAGGTGTCCATCGTGTCTGTCTCTCTCTTGGCTGCGCCCTTGCACCTGGGAGACAAATGAAGTCCGCCCGTTGGTCTCTTTAAATATTAATGCGGCGCCCCACCAGCTTTCGGGAAAGCTGTGGTAATGAGGAGGCGTGTGAAATGCCCTCAGAACAACGCACATCAGGGAAGGACCGTTCGGAGGAAGCTCTTTCGGGCTGTACCCTCCGTGTTTTAAAGAAATTCTCGGAATAAGAACGTCAGTCTTTAACAACTGGAAGCCTTATTCTGCACTCCCCGATGGAACCTGGTAGGAAATCTAACAGCCTAAAGGGACAAGACGAGAACCAGTGTCTTTCTTGCGCATTAACGTCTATCTCAGGCGGGCCCCACGCCTCCAGCCAAGCCTCCTTCGTGATGCTTCAGAGGCAAATCGATTCACGAAGAGAAGCTGAAACCCAAATGCAGCAAGACCTGGCACTGAAAAATGAGCTTACTTTAAAAAGTTGCTCTGGGGGCAGGGGACAGAAGTGCAGGGTGACCTTGGAAGACAAGTCACCTTGAGGCCGGAAGGCAGAGCCACCACAGCTGCCTCAAACTGGAAAATCAGCCGCCAGCCTCCTCCCAGCAAGTGGCCCAGTGGGGAGCCTGAAGCCGGCCCCGGGTGGGGGTGCCCGCACCCCGAAATACGCAGCCCTGCAAACCGGAAGCCCCTCAGAGGGCTACTGAGCACACATTGACCCACATCCGCTGCCTAAACAAGGCTCCTCAAGGAGGGTGAAGGCAGACCTGCTGTTCCAGAAAATTGATGGAGACACTGGGGGTTGAGGGCTGAAAAGAAAAAGCAACCCTCAGCCTGGGGATGAAGGTGCCGGGAGGGAGGTCCCGCCAGGGCCCGCTGTGAAGCACGTCCCCGGGGTGCTGGGCCTGGAGAGCGAAGGAACTGGTGCCAAAGCCACATCTTCTGGGGACCAGGGAGGGTGGAAGGCCGCAGGGGCGAGGGGATGGACACACACACACACACATAGCCCAGACTCCGCACGCTCCCTTCAGAGGCACGGAGGCAGGGCCAGCCGCCCCTCCAATGCTACCGCGGGCCCTGACCACTCTTCACAGGCGCGATCTCACTTCATCCCCAGGGACCCTGGGGGCTAAGAGGCAGATATTACTCACGGCCCCATTTGCAGATGAGTAACCGGGGTTCAGAGAGGTTAAGAAATCCTCCCAAGGACTTGGAGCTCAGGGGTAAGGACGCCACGTCTGCTGGGCTCTGCTGCCTGGGGTCCTCACTACCGTGCCGCCCGCTAGGCCACACTGGCCCGGGGACTCTCAGCCCTGGAACCAAGGCCTGGCTCTGCCCTCCAGGATCCTGCCTCCGGGGTCCGAAACCTCATTCCCCACCAGGCCCCGAGGGCCATCCACTTCCCCGAAGGAAAGACCTTTGTCACTGCTTACCAACGGAGAGGGTGCACCAGTGTTCTCCACCAGCCAATGCTTCTACCCCAACATGGTCCTTCCTACGTTCCTTCCCACAGGCCCCTCTCAAGTCTCAAGGCTGCCTGTGTGGGGCCCCGGAGGACTGTGGGCGGGGTGGATGGGAACATCGTGGCAACAGTTCTGTTTACTGAATGTAGGTGGCACCGAGAACAGCCCTTCCGAACAGCCCTTCGGGGGGCGGGGGCGGGGGTTATTTTAGTTCCTGATAAAGAAATCAAAGCTCAGAGAAGCCAAAGGGCTTTCCCAAGGCCACACAGCCAGGCTGGGATCTCTTACTGTCTGACTCTCTCCCAGGCCTGAAACGTCGTTACCTAATTCTCAACCTTGAAACTCAGCTCTGTGCTGGCAGAGGATAGGTTATTTCAAAAATACTCTCATCGTGATTTCTCTAAAACAGAGAAAAGGGGCTTTTCCACAGAAGGAAGAAAGAAAACATGGGAACTTGCTATCGATTATTTGTTTACATAATGAGCAGCTAAGGCATCATCAAAATGACACTTGAGACAGGCCAGTGAGTTGACAGAAAAACACAGTCCCACTAGCACAGCGAGGAGAAGGGAAAGGGGGCAGGTGTGAAGAGCGCGAACCCCGAGCAGGCTCGCTGCGGCAGCCGCTCCTCAGCTCCCGGGATAAAACCTCCCCCTTGAGGGAAACCACTCTCTCCCCTCTGCAGACGCTCTCTGGGAGGGAAATCAGAGAGTGGTCCTTTGCAAACCTACAAAGACCGCGTGACGGGAAACGTCGGCTGGACCAGACGCTTCTGGGGAAGATGTGGATGGACACGACCGCGCCCCCGTCCCTGCGGCTGGGCCCAGACTCCAGCCCCGTCTCTCGAAGGTCCCAAAAGGCCCTCCCCGGTTTGGCTCAGTGGACAGAGTGTCGGCCTACGGACTGAAGGGTCCCTGGCTCGATTCCCGGCCAAGGGCATATGCCCGGGTTGTGGGTTCGATCCCCAGTGGGGGGCGTGCAGGAGGCAGCCGATCAATGATTCTCTCTCATCATTGATGTTTCTATCTCTCTCTCTCTCTCTCTCCCTTTCCCTTCCTCTCTGATGTCAATAAATATATATATATATTTTTAAAAAGGTCCCAAAAGACCTACGGTATTCTACCAGCCCAAGAGAACAGGGCGTCTGAAACCCCAGTCAGCCCCACCGGGGGGCGCGGCCGCTTACCTGGGGCAGGGGCAGTTGGCCCACTCGGACACCGAGGCCAGCGGGGAGCCTCCCTTGCCGGTGAGGGCCGTGACGCTGGGCAGGGTCACGGGCAGGTCCTCCAGCGGCACGGGCACGGGGCCGCAGGCCGGGCAGTGGATCATGGGGATCGGGGTGCCCCAGTAGCGCTGCCGGGAGATCAGCCAGTCCTTCAGCTTACCGCTGGTCACGTCTCCGCCCACTCCCTTCCTCCGGGCCTTCTCGGTCACGGCGAGAAACGCATCCTGCCGGCTCAGACCTGTGAACTGAGAGGGGAAGGAGGGACCCGTTCCTCCCTGACCAAGAACAAGCCTCGGGGCCCGGCTGGCGTGGCTCGGTGGCCGAGTGTGCCGAGCTATGAACCAGGAGGTCACGGTTCGAACTCCCGGTCAGAGCACACAAGTCCGGGTTCGGGGCTCCATCCGCAGTGCGGGGCGGTGCGGGAGGCAGCCGATCGGTGATTCTCTCTCATCATGGGTGTTTCTATCACTCTCTCCCTTCCTCTCGGAAATGAAGAAAAAAAGCCCCACAAGTACATCTGTATCTGTAACAAGCCCCCAGGGCTGCTGCGTTTCTCTGGGTTCTGTGCACTTTGACCTTTGTGAGGCCAGGCGCCTTTGCCCTGTGGGCCCCTTCCTCCCGAAGATCACAGCAAAAGATTATATTTCATGACTGCCTGGAATAAGAATAAATATAATTTTTACCCTAAGATTCCATTTCTTTTTTCTTCTGATTTTAAAAAGAAAGCCTTTGGGGGGCCCTAGGCACTGCATCCTCGGGGCCATCTAACGGGTAAGTGGCCCTGGCCCCGGGGCTCCCCAGGCAGCCCCTGCTGAGACCATCCCACACCAGCATGCAGCTGCCAGCCAAGAACTGCAGCACATGCTTTTTTTCTTTTTTTTCTTTAACGATTGCTCCTCTGTTGGGGGGGGAAGCATTCAGAAAGAAAGATTCAGTATCGCCCCAAAGCGGGAGTGTAATCAAGCAGAGAAGAGAGAACCAGAAGCACCTTTTGTAGCTAAATGTTTCCACTTTACAGACGGCAGGGCAGGCCATGAGGGCAGAAAAGAAAAATTCTTTCACCTGACGCCTTTCGGAGAAGGAAACAAATGAGAAGGACCGGCGCTGTCGGCCCTGTGGGTGCCCTGGAACCGGATCAGGCCCATGACCGGCCCGGGGGCACCCAGATAGGTCCGACCTGTCTGCCCCGGAGCAGCTCAGTCACGAGGCCTAGGGATGAGGGAGCACAGCCGTGCCGGTCAAGGGCAGCTCCTCGCAGGAAGGGCCGGAAGTGTCCCCTGGAGTTCAGAGCTCTCCTCCAGGGCCCCGGTCCAGTCCGGGAGGCATCCTCCATGTCTCCCGCTCCCTCTGTCATACACGACTGGGGTGCACATGCTCACAAAGTCTACCTTCCTCCCTGGCCGGGTTGCTCAGTGGTTAGAGCATCCTACCGATTTGCCAAGGTTGTGGGTTTGATCTCTGGTCAGGGCACACACAAGAAGCAACCAATGAATGCAAAAGTGGGACAACAAACTGATGTTTCTCTCTCTCTCTCCCCCTTTCTTCTCTCTCTAAAAACAAACAAAAAAAGTCTATCTCCATGCATCACTGTTTTCACATTCCAGAAGCTCATGAGCAAAAGCAATTTCCTGGAAGAGGTCATTAGTTCACAAGAGGAGTCCCGACACGAAGCCTCGTTACTGTGATCACCGTACTCTTCCAGAACTGGGTTCGAAGGAGAGCGGATAAACCCCTTGGAAAAGAACATCCTTATTTCCACAGCTTAAGAAAGAGGCTGCGAGACTGGGTGTGGGGATGAGTGAGGTGGCACCAAAGGCAGACGTCTCCTCAGACTCAGGACAAGGTCCCGGAGTCAGAAGTGAGGCCCAGGCCCGGGCCCCGGGCACCAACCTCCGCGGAGCCGCTCAGCCTCTCCGTGCCGTCCGGCAGCGTCTCAATGACGTCCGAGTAGGACAGGCCCAGGGCTCGGGCTGTGACGGTGTCCTCGGGGCTGGTGCAGGGAATTCCTACGGAGAGGGGAAGAAAGGACAGAGCGTCTCCTTTGCAAGTGCCCAAACCACAAAACAATCAACAGCTCCGACACTTAGCGCCAGCGTCTTCAGGGGCTCGCTGCCTTTTCCCATTGCAGAGGCTGCCGAAGCTCCCCTCACTCGCCGGAGAAAGGGGCACCGCCTTGGAGAAACCCAAGGTCAACCAGGTCACCCACCACCCACCTAACAACCAGGTCACCCACTACCCACCCTAACCCACCACCTAACAACCAGGTCACCCACCACCCACCTAACAACCAGGTCACCCACTACCCACCCTAACCCACCACCCACCTAACAACCAGGTCATCCACCACCCACCTAACAACCAGGTTACCCACCATCCATCACCTAACAACCAGGTCACCCACCACCCTTCACCTAACAACAGGTCACCCACCACCCACCCTAACCCACCACCCACCTAACAACCAGGTCACCCACTACCCACCCTAACCCACCACCTAACAACCAGGTCACCCACCACCCACCTAATAACCAGGTCACCCACCATCCATCACCTAACAACCAGGTCACCCACTACCCACCCTAACCCACCACCTAACAACCAGGTCACCCACCACCCACCTAATAACCAGGTCACCCACCATCCATCACCTAACAACCAGGTCACCCACTACCCACCCTAACCCACCACCTAACAACCAGGTCACCCACCACCCACCTAATAACCAGGTCACCCACCATCCATCACCTAACAACCAGGTCACCCACTACCCACCCTAACCCACCACCTAACAACCAGGTCACCCACCACCCACCTAATAACCAGGTCACCCACCATCCATCACCTAACAACCAGGTCACCCACCACCCACCCTAACCCACCACTCACCACCGAACAACCAGGTCACCCACCACCCACCCTAACCCACCACCTAACAACCAGGTCACCCACCACCCACCCTAACCCACCACCCTCCACCTAACAACCAGGTCACCATCTCGGTATTGTTTCCTTTACGTCTTCTTCCTTTGCTTAGTTTCGTTTCGGAAACAGTCGTAATTCTAAAATATACGACCTAGGCCTGGCCAGCGTGGCTCAGGGGTTGAGCATCGAACTATGAACCAGGAAATCCCCGTATGATTCCCAGCCAGGGCACACGCCCAGGTTGCGGGCTCCATCCCCATTAAGGGGCGCGCAGGAGGCAGCCGATGGATGAATCCCTCTCATCACCGATGTTTTCTATCTTTCCCCCTCTCCCTTCCCCTCTCTGAAATAAAAAATATACTTTAACCCTTTGCACTCCGAACCATTCTGGACATTGGCTACCAGCTACTCGACGCTACTTTGCGGTGGACACGTGCGTTGAATTAACTCAATTCCCCGTAATCACTAATAAACTGCAATGTCCCCCCTGGAGGGGACATCCGAGTGATATGCTAGAATTCCGATGTCCCCTGAGAGGGGACGGCGGAGTGCAAAGGGTTAAAATATACAACGTGGGGTGCTTTGTGCCACTGAGACAGTAGTCACAAGTCTGGGGGGGGGAGGAGGAGGGGGAGAGCTCTTCCCTGAACCCGCTCAGTGACAGAGGGCATGTGCTCTCAGAGGCAGGCTGACTCCCCCACCTCGGCCGGCACCCGGAGAAGTCCACGCAGCCGGGAGCCGGAAGCTGGAACTGATTTTTCATACTCGCTCCGTTCCCCGAGGCAAGAGCACACTGTGAACAGACATTTATTCTTCAGCCCACACACCCCTGAGGAGATGGAGTCCGCATGAGTTAATCACCCCTCCGGAGGGCCACGGCCGGCTGCCTGGGCGTCAGCGGGTCATAAAACAGGTATTTCAGCGGGCGGTGGGGGGCCTCCCCCAGCAGCACTGCCCCCGTCTGACACACGAAAACGTCCCTCCGACTGCCGGGGGTCCCCTGGCGGCCCCATGTCCCCTGGCTGAGAACTCCTGCTGTAGCGACAACCGTCAAACTGCCGACGTCCTCGCGGGCACAACCCATCTCGTGGCAAATGAGACAACACTTCGGGGAACACGCCAAACGCTCAGGTCAGAGGGCCAGAGCGGCCCGAAAGGGAGCTTTCGTGTTCACGAGGCTCGCTCACAAGCTCCCTGGTGAGATGGAAGCTCCATGGCTCCTATTCCAGAGGAGATTATTTTTAAAAAAACAAACATATTTTATTGATTTTTTTTACAGAGAGGAAGGGAAAGGGAGAGGGATAGAGAGTTAGAAACATCGATGAGAGAGAAACATCCATCAGCTGCCTCTTGCACCCCCCCCCACTGGGGATGTGCCCGCAACCAAGGTACATGCCCTTGACCAGAATCGAACCTGGGACCCTTCGGTGTGCAGGCCGACGCCCTATCCACTGAACCAAACCGGTTAGGGCCAGAGGAGATTATTGACAGGAAGCACCGACAAAAGCAAATAAACGTCTGCGATGGACCAGAAAGCCGCTGACGGGTAAGGACCCACTGAGAGCAATGGAGTGCTCGTGGTCACGGGAAGCATCATTATTCCCCGTGTGCGGGCTGGAGCGGCCAGAGCATGGCTCTTGGCAGGTGCCGCACCAGGGAATGTCTCTGACCGCGCGCGCTGGCCATGGTGCTGGCCACGTGGGCTCAGGACAAGGCACTGTCTGTGAAATGCAGGTGAGACGGCAAGATTACCGCGTTACCTGTGGTTGGATTTCTGTCTGTTCTTGGAGGGCAAGAGGCAATAACTCAGAAAATGTTAGTTATGTAACTGTGGGAAATCGAGACAACACAGGAGAAATGATTTTCCCAGCATGCCTAAAAATAATCAGATTTTTTTTTCTTTCAGACACTCAATTTATGTCAGTACTTTGACTCAAAATGCAAAAGAGAAAAAAAAAACAAAAAACCACGCCAGCAAGTGCTGCCGTTATTGTTTATCGTGGCCAGCGGTCTTAATGAATTTTACTAATGATAAAACGCATAAAAGCAGGAGATGTTTTTTCCTTTAACACGCTTTCTAGCTTAAGCTGTCAGGAGAGAATGCCCTGAATGGCTTAATAGCTGTGTTCTGTGTGGGTGTTTCTTCTAGTCACTTTGTCAGAAAGGAATCTGAGAACTGTGAGGAAAAACACGATTTTGCTAAGAAATGCTATTTTTCTCTGTGTGCCAGGAAGCAGAGTGAAACAGCTTTCTGTGCAGAGTCTGGCACTCGGAGACCAGCTGAACTACAGTAGGAACGTGGGAAAGAGGCGTGAGGGCAGAACTCAGATGGACTGTTGGATGCCGATCACTTAGGACGCTCATGGCTCGACCACTGTGGCTCAGTGTCAACCATGAACCACAAAGTCACTGCTTTGATTCTCGGTCAGGGCCCATGCCTGGGTCGCAGGCTCGATCCCCAGTAGGGGGCGTGCAGGAGGCAGCCCATGGATTCATGTTTCTCTCTCATCGATGTTTCTGTATCTCCCTCTCCCTTCTTCTCTCTCTAAAAAAAACCAATCAAAACGTAATAAAAAAAAATAGAATGCTCATGATGAGTAAGACGGCCAAGGACACACAACTTACAGTTCTAAATATGCCTCCCGTTGTGCTGCTGTTTCACGATCCTTTTTTCTTTTTTTTCTTTTTTAAAAAAAATATATTTTATTGGTTTTTTTACAGAGAGAAAAGGAGAGAGATAGAGAGCTAGAAACATCGATGACAGAGAAACATCGACCAGCTGCCTCTTGCACACCCCCTACCGGGGATGTGCCTGCAACCAAGGTACATGCCCTTGACAGGAATCGAACCTGGGACCTTTCAGTCCACAGACTGATGCTCTACCACTGCGCCAAACCGGTTTCGGCACGATCCTTTTCTTGAACAGCTCAAGCCCCCCTCTCCTCAAAGCCCTCACCAGAACCCCAGTCCGCGTGGATGGTTTGTGTGTGGAACCCCGTCTGGAAAGCTGCCATAGGGTCTGAGCCCTGACATGGGACTTTCGCCCGAGCTGTTCTGTTCCCCACGCTGTAGGCACACGTCTTGCCAACCAGCTCTGCTGGCACGGTCCTCGGGCCAGACATCTCTGATTATTCTCAACAGCCACGAGCAAGGTGCGATACACATGATGCTTTCAAAATGTAGTTCTTAAATGGGGGTGATTAAATCAAGGGGGGCATTCCTTTCTACAAAGAGGCAAACCGGATCATGGCGCCAACGTCAGCTCTTTCACTTGACAGCAACAGGCTGGAGTTTTAAATCTTTATCGTTGAAAGGATTACACGTCCCCTTCCCCCCCACTCCCCATGGGCCCCTTCTAGCCTGCCCCTGCCCCCACCCCCACACCAGACCTTCCCCACACTGTTGTCTGTGCCCATGGGTTATGCACATGTGCATACAAGTCCTCTGGTTAACCACTTCCCATCCACCCATCCTCTCCTGCCTTCCCTCTGGGATTCGACGGTCTTAGTATTTTGATCTTAAGCCGGGTAACACACGATCCCAACTACATTGTAATAACTACTCACCTATTTTTGAATCCGGAGAGTCCTCAGATTCAGCGTCGGCCGCGATGACGACAGGGACTTCCTGCTGGGTGAGCAGGTTCACGGCGGTCACGGGCGTGAGGCAATCTGACAACGAGAGGGAGGACCGTGGATGCGGTCAGAGGCCACCCGGAGCTCAGGGGAGACGGGCGAGAAAAAGAACCCTCAGGACATCCCCGTTCTGTGCTAATGGTCCAAGAATTCCTTCTTTGAAGCTTTTGTTGGATAATTCACACCAGAGGGAATCAAAAGACTAACCAAGCACACGAAAATGTTCATCCATGCTCATAACCGAAGAAGTGAAAATGGCATTTTTCCTTTCCAGATGGAGGAGGAAAGACGTTCCCAACCCCCCGTCACCCCCCTCTTCCTTTTGAAAAACAACCTCAGCCAGACCGTCGATGACCAACCCAGAAATGGGCCTGTGGTAACACGAGGCGGCGTCTGGAATCCCAAACCGCAGCACGTGAAGGTGGAATGGGCCAGAGAGCAGAAAATGACCGAGCTGAGAGTTCCAGACGCACAAAGACAAATTCTCTTCCCACACACCCTTCCTCAGGAGGTGCAGGAGGATGTGCTCTGGCAACAGGACGGGTAAGTCACGAAAAGGACAGACCCGGGATCCAGGAAGCACAGGAAAGAGGGAGGTCATTTGCAGAATAAGGGCAGAGGGGGGTCTGAGGAGGACAGGGCGCAGCAGAGCCCGGAGGGTGACCATGAGCGGACACAGGGCCCCAGGGAGCCTCAGGGCACAGGGGGAGCCAACACGGGTTGGAACGTGCAGAAGACTGAACCGAGAGGCGTTTAAGGAGCTTCTGGGAGGGTGTGGGAAGCCTTGGAAATTCAAAGAACACAAAGCAAATGAATAAAATGAGAACACTGTGAACTTCAGGAGAAACGGAAAGTTACATAAAAAGGAAGATGGAATCACGGTGTCCGTGGCTCAGCTGCAGGGGTATCTATTGGTCATTCTGAAGCATTCACCGGAAACTCCGTCTGAAAGGAAGGTGGGTGCCGCCGCTGCAGCTGGGCGACAAGCCACACGCACACCAACCTCCACTGCATACACGTGGGGCCGGAGACACGCGAGAGGACCCCAGGAAGAGGGGCGAGGGTAGTGAGTCCACATGAGCTTCTTGTATTAAACGGCTGGACTTTTTTCCCCTTCCACATAAAAATTCTGTGATGCCGGTTTTTCAATTAGAAAAACAATTGTCCTTTAAACTTAAAAGTTTAGGGTCTTTAAACTTAAAAGGCTCCTGGTCAAAATCTGTTTCTTGCTGAAACCGGTTTGGCTCAGTGGATAGAGCGTCGGCCTCCGACTGAAGGGTCCCAGGTTCGATTCCGGTCAAGGGCATGTACCTTGGTGGTGGGCACATCCCTGGTGGGAGGTGTGCAGGAGGCAGCTGATGGATGTTTCTCTTTCATCGATGTTTCTAACTCTCTATCCCTCTCCCTTCCTCTCTGTAAAAAAAAAAAAAAATCAATAAAATATATATTTTTAAAAAATCGGTTTCTTAAAAAGAGCAAAACTCAAGTCTGAAGTTCCTGATCAGGTATAGTTTTCCCATATTTCTCATCAATCCTGTGCCGGTGGTGTGACGCAGGAAGGCAAGGAAATCATGGAGAGACACAAAGCTACTGAAGCACAGGCCTCGGCAGGGTGGCAGGTGGGTGACGCTGACACTTTAGTGATCACAGAGGCAACATTCCAGGCAAAAGGGCGCCCTCTGCCTAGGGCCCCCACTGCAGAGGGCAGGCCCTTCACGCCTTCCGGGAAAACCAACCCACGCTCTCAGTGTTCAGCAGATCGGGGGGGGGGGGGGGGGGGGTCCTCAGGGGCCGTCTGTGGAGGTGGGGTCTGTGGCCCCTAGTGTGACTGGGCTTCCTGTCTGTGGCCGGAGCCGTGCACATCAGCACAGCAGAGCTCCCGAGGGATCCAGGGCAAAGAACCCTGTGACTTCGTTTATTGCAGGGTGTGTGAGCCCGGCAGCTCTGCCCGCCCTGCCACCTCTGCCAGCCCTGCCACCTGCCGGAAGCTGGCAGAGACAGTTCGGTTAAAGAGGGAGGAGTCAGACCACGGGGAGCAATTAATTATTCAGCGCTCTGGGGCTGCGTCACAACAGCCCCTCAGGGAGACCTCATTTACCTTCCGGCAAAAACATGCTTTGTGAGGCCACTGGTGACTCAGAGCTGGAATGTGTGGCTCCGAGGCTCCGGGGTCTGAATAATTCAATATCAGGAATGTAGGGAAAGCGTCCAGAAGCCGGCACAGCTTCTAGAACGCTGCCCCCAGTTCCCTCTTGGTGCTTTTTTAAAAAAATGTATCTTTATTGTTGAAAGTATTACAGAGGTCCCTTTTTCCCTCCCTGAACCCCTCTGACCCTCCTCCCGCCCCCTCCTCCCTCGCACTATGTCTGTGTCCATGGGCTATACATATCTGTATACAAGTTCTTTGGTTTATCTCTACCCACCCACCCCGAAATATGTCCGTCTGTTGTATGATGCTTTTTAAAAGTATATATATTTTATTGATTTTTTTTACAGAGAGGAAGAGAGAAGGATAGAGAGTTAGAAACATCGATGAGAGAGAATCATCGACCAGCTGCCTTCTGCACACCCTCTACTGGGATATGCCCGCAACCAAGGTACGTACCCTTGACCAAAATCGAACATGAGACCCTTCAGTCTGCAGGCCGACGCTCTATCCATTGAGCCAAATCTGTTAGAACTGTATGAGGCTTTTCATGGATCCTAGTTCCCATCAAGTCAGGGCTCAGGTAACATGATTCAGTCAGAGGCGGGCGGCTGAGAAAGGGGGGCAGCGCCCATGGTTATGGAAAACTCGACTGCAAGAACTCTGCAGGGAGAGACCTTCCTTCTCTGCCCTCCTAAAGGAATCTGTACCAAACAGCCCATTCAGTCCATAACCAATAACATCAGCAACCCACGTCAGAGGTCAGAAAGCCGTGTCTGACTCTGCCACCTTCCAGCAGTTCCCAGACTGTCCCGCCCTCCACGCCGATGACCGCTGTTATTCCGTCTTCACCAGCTCTTAGCGGATGGGGAAGCCGACACTGCTGCCTCCACTCTGCCAGTCCGGCGCCACCCAGTCCAGGTGTGTCACCCTCTTCCTCAGAGCCAGTCACAACAGTGAGCTGCCAAGACTCTCAGCAGTCGCCTCGCTAGCACTCGTAACCCTCAAAACCTGACATCCAAGGAAGAACCGAGCCGGCTGGCAGCCGGAGCCAATTGGCAATGATAAGTGTCAATGATCAGGGTTAAGCTGTAGCCTCAAAGGCCAAAGGAGGCATAGAGCCATATTCACACGGTCATTTTAATTCACCTTTTGGGAAAACTGCATCCTACTCTGAGCCATTTGGCCTTGAGTGACAAATGCTGCATCAGATGCTAATTAACCTAGGGATTCTGAATAAATTGCTATCTGCAGAAAGAATAACTCCACTCTGAAAATGAGAACAGGAAAATTTAGAGCCAAGTGCAATGTTCCAGTTGGAATGATTTCAGGGATGATTAGAAAGAGGGGGGATCGAAGCTAATGAGTCATTTGGTGCCAAAATGAAATAGTCAGACCAAGTCAGACGCGCTGATTCCTAAATGATCACAAAAACGCTGGTCTCTGCATTTGCCACGGTAACTTCTTCCGCATGAGACCGATTTAAATGTACACAGTGCTCTTCACGTCAGGATTCCTTCTCAGATAGCTTGCCAGCTCACTGACCCCCTACCTCGTTGTCATCTGTGTCCCCAAATAAACAAGAAGAAAACAAAGCTGAGGGCTCAGTGTTTACATTGCTCCGTTTTTCAATATTAGGTATTATTCAACCACCATGGCCCGGGGAACCTCAAAATGCTCAAGGAGTAACAACTATGCGTTTTCCTTTGAAACGGAACAGTTGAAAAGGTCCAATTTTTTTTAATAGAAAATAGAAGAGAGATAGAGACACTGGACTTTATAAGCACACCCTGAAATTTCAACTCAAAGGAGTAATTTCTCGACTTCAATATAAAACAGCAAAAGAGATGAAACCGAGTTATCTGTGTCTTGTGCCCGAGTGAATGACACACGCATCTGGCCGCCCTCGCTGTGACCCCTGTGAACGGTCATCTCTGTGTCCCCGAGTGCGTGGCACATGGCGGGCTCTCGGTCAGTGGTCCCCGACCTGCACCCCGCCTCTGAGGTTGTACGTAAACGATCAGGAAACCTGAGCTGGGGTGACACTGTCTATCCTTCCGACCTGATGTCAGAAAGGCTTTCATTCTGGTTACCTGAAGAAGAGCAATTAAAAAATAAAAGCTTTATATCACCACCCAAAACATTTTTTTGTTTGTTAGTTAAATAAGTCAAACAGATCCCAGTGATTGACTGTGTGTGCTGCATTGATATTCTAGAAAAATTTTTAAAGAAATATTTACATTTCCCCAGAGACCTCCTTCTGATCCATCCTTCCACCGGCCAGGATCCACCTCCCCTTCCTCTGGGAAGAGCCTCTGAGTGTTTCTCAGACCCCACCTTCCTCACTGGGTAGTCCTGGTGGTCTATCAGGGAAGGTCCCTGGCCTTCCCTTGGCCAAGAAAAAGGCCAGGAACCCCAGTGATACCAACCAGACACCTTTTCCTGCAGCAGGGGATCCCTGAACCCCACGCCCCAAGCCCCGAGGGTGAGGGCGAGCAGATTCCCACAGTCAGTGGCATTCAAGAGACAGAACTAATTCCTGCTGCCCAAGCTCCCAGGGCTGCTGGTCCAAGTCCTCTTCCAGACCGGTTCTCCAGGGGTTCCTCCAGGGGTTCCTCCAGTCAGCAAGCTCCCCACAGCCTTCCAGGAGGCTCCCCTTTCCCTCCGGGTCAGCCAGAGGTCCCAGCGCAGTGGCCCGCCCCAAACCCTCACTGGCCAGGCTATTCCCTAGGCCAACTCCAGGCCCTCTTGGTCCAGTCACTCAGGAGCTCTCTGAGCAGGACTCTGCTCCTCCGCTCAGATTCCTGAGAGTCTGTCCAAGTAATAAAATTAAGTTGTTGAAAATGTTGCCTTCCAGTTCTCAGTGGCTTCCTTCCTGCCCCTGTGCATACAGTTTTATTTGATGACGGAATTATTAATGAAGCGGAAGATTCTATTCCTATCAGAAAAGAGCTGTGGATCCAGATTCTATTTAAAGGGAAAGCATTGAGGGACCGGTTTGGCTCAGTGGATAGAGCGTCGGCCTGCGGACTGAAAGGTCCCGGGTTCGATTCCGGTCAAGGGCATGTACCTTGGTTGCGGGCACATCCCCGGTAGGGGGTGTGCAAGAGGCAGCTGGTCGATGTTTCTCTCTCATCGACGTTTCTAACTCTCTGTCCCTCTCAATTCCTCTCTGTGTAAAATCAATAAAATGTATTTAAAATAAAAAAAAATAAAAAAAATAAAAAAAAAATAAAAATAAAGGGAAAGCATTGAGCTTCCCGACAGACATTCAAGAAGCACACAATCTAGTAGCTCAAAGTGCAGCCAGGGGGGTAACTTAACATGTTCAAAGCTCTTTTGTCAGCCTCATGCCTTAAAATAAAAAACTAAGAAGCCAGGCCGAGGTGAAGACAAATCCCACAAGATGACATGAGAAAGCAGTGAACTTGGAAACACCGTGAGGCAGAACATAAGACATGATCCTCCTCCGTCTTAGCCTCACCCTGCCCACTCACCTCTGCCGGGGACCAGTGCCTTCCGCAAGGCTTCCTTCAGGGGGCTGTGCCCGTGCAGGAGTCTGTGGCCGGGAGTGACGGTGACGTGGGACGTGCCATAAACGGCCTCGGGGGTGGCCGTGTAGGCGGTCAGCTTCTCTCCTGTGACCTGCCCGTCCACCTGGCAGGGGGAGAGCAGAGTAGTCATTCCCTTCTCGGTCCTCCCTCTGAGCTACGGTGCTCCCCAACCTCATCCCCTTCTCCCCACTCCCTCAACCGCAAATAGTGGGGCCAGCTTCTGGCCACAGCCCCAGGGACTGGAGGTCAGGGATGGACCCGGCAGGGGCAGAGGAGGGTGGAAGAGGAGGATCACAGCTCCTCCTTCAGAAGCCCTGCCAGGTGCCCTCCAGCAGGCCCACTTGGGCCCGGATCACAGGTGGTCAGAGCATGTGCAGAGAGATGCCGTCACAGCGGGAAATCTCACCACCTGCTCGGGAAAGCAGTGGAAGGAAAAGCCTATCTAAGCCAGGGCCTGGTTTTCAAAGGTTTTGAAGCACACACTCCCGGTCTGATGGGGGCTCCCAGGTCTGAGCCCGGAGTGAGCTGGTCACGTGGGTGAGGACGTGGCACAGGAATCGTGAGCTCAGCGACAGGCAGCGGGTACTCAGTGGACAGCAGCCGCGGAGCCCCAGGTGCTGGGCTGGTCAAGGGGTTGCAACAGAGCAGAGGGCCTGGCCGGCGCTCACTGCCGCGAAGGCTCTGCCGCTCACCTTTAAGGTGAAGTCCAGGTGGCAGCCCACACAGTCCCCGATCCAGTGGGCCTGCATGCCTTTGATTCCGTACCACTCCGGGAGGTCTGCCAGCGCGTCCCGCATGGCCTGCGGGGAGGAGAGAGAACGGAGAGCGAGATGCACAGGTTTGAGGCAGTGAATGACTCGGGGCTTGCTGAGGGAGGACTGGAGGGGGAAGGAGGATGCAGAGGAAGGCTTAGGAATTAGGCCTCCTCTTGCTCTCTTGCCAATCAGAGGTGAGAAGCAGAGGTGCTTGCTCATCAGGACTCCGTTTTATTGGTTGCAACGGGTCTGGCCTGGGCATATGCAAAGCAGGATGTGCCAGAGCCCCTAACATGAAGGTTAAATACAGTTGTTCCCCCTTATCCGTGGGGGGTGAGATCCAAGACCCCAGTAGATGCCTGCAACTGCAGATGGTACAGAACCCGATATACACTGAGTGGCCAGATTATTATGATCTCTGAACGCATAATAATCTGGCCACTCAGTGTATATCCTAGAACCTAGATAATAAAAGGCTAATATGCAAATTGTCCCCTCCACCAGGAGTTCAACCAGCTGGCAGGCTGGCCAACCACACATGTCCCTTCTCCATGGCCAGGCTGACCAGATCCCACCTATGCACAAATTCATGCACCGGGCCTCTAATACACACACACACACACACACACACACACACACACACTGAGTGGCCATATTATTATGCATTCAAAGATCATAATAATCTGGCCACTCAGTGTATAGTATGGTTTTTCCTATGTACACATTCCTATGATAAAGTTTAGATAATAAAGCAGCATAGTAAGAGACTAACAACAACTAATATTAAAATAGAACAATTGTAACAATACAAGTTGTATGAATGTGGGCCTCTCCCTCTGGTAACTGAGCCGCCTAAGTGACTAGAGGGCAGGTAGCGTATACAGCATTGGGCAAAAGGGATGACTGACATCCTCGATGGGATGGGGAGTGACTGAGCAAGATTTCCTCATGCTGCTCAGGACAAGGAGCGATTTAAAACCTGTGACGCACCTGCCGCCTCTCCGTCCCCTGCCTTGTCCAGCCGCTGCTGCTAAGCCCTCTGGGTGAGTTTTCCTCTAGGTTGCATTGTCTAGGCTGGGAGATTTCTGGTGGAGGAGCTTTGCTTAAAATACTCAGATCTCAGACAGGACAAAAGATTGAAATTGGAATATTTTAATATGCTAATTATGGGAGAGAGAAAAACCCTCCTGCTTAATGCCTTACCAAATTTATGAATATTCTTAAAAAAATGAAAGCAGCCGAAACCGGTTTGGCTCAGTGGTAGAGCGTCAGTCTGCAGACTGAAAGGTCCTGGGTTCGATTCCGGTCAAAGGCATGTACATTGGTTGCGGGCACATCCCCGGTGGGGGGTGTGCAAGAAGCAGCTGGTCGATGTTTCTCTCTCATCGACATTTCTAGCTCTCTATCTCTCTCCCTTCCTCTCTGTAAAAAATCAATAAAATATAATTTATATATATATATATATATATATATATATATATATATATATATATATTTTTTTTTTTTTTTTTTTTAAATAAAAAATAAACCAAATGAGCCGAAACCGGTCTGGCTCAGTGGATAGAGCACTGGCCTGCGGACTGAAGGGTCCCAGGTTCGATTCCGGTCAAGGGCATGTACCTTGGTTGCGGGGACATCCCCAGTAGGGGGTGTGCAAGAGGCAGCTGATTGATGTTTCTCTCATCGATGTTTCTAACTCTCTATCTCTCTCCCTTCCTCTCTGTAAAAAATCAATAAAATATATTAAAAAATATATAAAAAAATAAAAATAAACCAAATGAAATCAACTTCGTGAGAATAACCCAGTGAGCCCGTTTGAGTCCCCACTGGGAAGGAACATTATCCCGGCTGGTTTTGATGAGCACCTGCTCTGAGCAGCCTCTCCCTCATCCCAGGGCTGGCCCTGCTCCACCTGAACAAGAGGGCGGTGAGTACTCACAGCCTACCTGTTTTTATTTGATTTAGGTTTTCGTTGAGATGATAACCTTCCTCCCTCTTTTGGTGCTGCAATTGCAGTGGCAGTACACGGGATCCCTCTCATATCAGGCCCTTCCATCTGGCAAACAATTGGCAGCGACTCCCTCCCCCATCCTAGCCAATCTGGAATTATGGAAATCTTACTGGTTCACAGAATCCAAAAACCTTTGGGAGAGAGAAGGTTTTGAGACTCTTTTTTAAAGGGCTATAAAATGCCTTTTCAGATAAAATGGAGGGAACCCAGCAGGTAAGAGCCGAAAGCTGAGCCATTATGCTGGGAGGTGCCCTGAGCTCTCTCCGAACCCTCTCCACCAATTCCCAGGCCTTGGGCACAATTTGGAAGCCATTCATTACCTCAGCTCCCCTCATTTAGCAAATGAAGAAATGGCTCCCTCAACCAAGTCAGCGGCAGACCCACTATCACAAACGATCCAAATCTTCAGACTGGATAATCTGTGCTCAGTTGCCTGGTCTCTTTAGGTAAATTAAAACAAAAGGTAACGCCTTCCATATGTAAAACCTGTAAGTTAATTATAAGTGGGCTTCTCATTCCCGTATTTAATGCTCATCTGAAGCCACATTAGAGTTGCTGCTGAGCATTTAGAAAAATCCCGTGGTTTACAAACAGGCCTCATAAGTACTTGGTTGCGATCGGCCTGCAAACACGGCCACGGTGACCCTGCCTGTACCATATGGATGAGGATGCTGTAAGGAGTTGAATCGAAGGGATATTAATGAGTCTGACTAGGAGCCCATGTTTAAGAACAGGAAGTAGAAGGAGACAAGCTGATGCTCACGTCCAATCAAGAAAGGCTTTCGTAACACAAAATATAATCAGGAATAAGAAAGAGGAAGATTTAAAGTAAAGAGCTGAGGATAAAAAGAGGATTAGATATAACCTGGCCAACCAGACTCTTCCTTCAAAGACACAGAAATAAGGCCAGAAATAAACCCGTACTTCCCCGGGGAAGACGGTGTGTGCGCTAACGGCATTAACCACCACATGCGACGGGACCACAAGTGAGGATTCTAGAAGGGGTGGTTTTTAAAACGTGATATATTTCAGAAGACCTTGGGTGAACAAAGACAGGCAAGATGAGAAACCCAGACCTTTTAAATCCATTAGCTTAGATTTACTAGCTCCCACGGGGGGCTGCAAAGCCAGGACTGGGAGCTGGGCATAGATTTGAGAAAGGAATAAAAGAGACAAGATGAAATGGGGAAACTTAATCAAAACGGGTCCTTTTTAAAAGCTTAACACTTAGCCTCCTTCTGAATCAGTGTGGTTTGATTAGCCATTACTTTTGTATTATGATCTGCATGTTTTTCCTAAAACTTTTTCTTGTTGCAAAGGTTTTTTTTTTATTCTTCTTTTAAAAAAAATCATTTCAGTGCATTCACTCCAAAAGCACAGTGTATATTTGAGTTCCAATAAAGGAAAATCAATTCCGAAAGCAGTAAGATGTCTTAACAATCTAGATATCCTCTCTAGAATATGCTAGAGGAATAAACCTTCTCTCGTCCTAGCCTCATCCCCCTGCAGGAAGTGAGGCACAAAGATTGAGCCATTAAAAATCTCATCTGGCAGGATGTTTACCTCCCTCTGACAGCCCGTGTGAACTTCTCTCCTGAAATGTTTTATGTATGCCCAGCGAAATCCATTTGTTGTGTGACTCTCAGTGCAAAAGATTTATTTACAAATACAGTTCACTCTTTAAAAAAAAAAAAAGGTATTGTTGAAAGTATTACATATCCCCTCTTTTCCCCCATCAGCCCCCTCAGCCCCCGCCAGTTGGCTCTCCACGAGTGCCAGTCCCACTGTGGAAGCTACTAACCCAGGAGGGAAACAATCAGGTGGAAGTGAGGCGTCCAGCTAATGAGGGGTGCCGGGGCAGCAGGTGCGGGCTCGAGGGGTGGCAGGGACAAAGGACAGGAGGCGCCCACCAGCCCACACAGACAGCAAGTGGGCACCTCAGAGCCATGCAAAAGGGCTACGGTGCAGCTTCCCAGCGGCTGGGAGGATGGACGTGCCTTCGGGGCGGGGCCATGTGCGTGCTCTGTGGGAGAGCATGCGCAGAAGGCACCCTGGAAGCCAGCCAGGCTAACCTCCTGGTACACACAGCCACGTATTCACGGCGGCCACACTTAGCAGCCTTCCCCACCCCTTCCCACCGCCCGCCGGCAGCAGGACTGTCCTAAGGCCACTGACTTCCAGGAGACAACGCCCGAGGCTCTGAAAGGTCACCACCACCCTCCTAACCACGCAGATGTAGAGGCCAAGCTCTCCCAACGACAGAGCCACCTGTCTGGTGAGCCAGATTCCGACTCCCAGAGGCCACTGCCTCCTCTCACTGCCCGTGGCACTCAGGACAGAGAGAGGCCGTGCCTGCGCCCCACCGTGGCCTGAAGGGGCAGCTCTGCTCCGGGAAGGAATAAGATGAAGACAGCCGCCCCGGGGGACACTCTGCTCAATGACCTTCACCGTGGAAGCTTGCCTCTAAATAAATGTAAAGCTGCCAGAACGTAAGACCGTCCTTTCCCCAAGGCTCTCGGGTCTGGTGTGAATAAAGGCCACCGTAACCCAGCTACGAGGCTGCTTTGTTTTGTGGCTCTCAAAATGACAAGAGAAAATTTTGGAAAGGACAGAAAGGATGAAGAAAAATACCAATCACACAAGTCGGGTTAAGCACCCAGGGTGACCACCGGTAATATTTGATTCTGAACATCCCACCCTGCTTGCTCCCATCCCCCCTGGACTCTCAGATGCACCTTTCCCCGCTCACTCTGAAACGGGGCCATGCCTAGCAGCCAGTGGTGTCTTTGATTGACAGCGTTTTTCTTTCTCAGTGGAGCACAACATCTCAAACCAACCGTGTTAGAACTGGAACAAATACAGTAGGAGTGTGTGCGCCTGTGTACACGTTCTTACACAGTTAAGACCATGCTCTTAATATATTCTTTTTAAAAAATATACATTTCTTTATTGATTTCAGAGAGGAAGGGAGGAGAGATAGAAACATCGATGAGAGAGAATCATTGATTGGCTGCCTCTTGCACGCCCCCCATTG